CTGGCCCTCAGTTTCCCCCTCTGTAAATGAGGGGGTTGGACCCAATGGCGCCAGGCTCCCTCCACCTCCGTCGGGTCCTGGCCCTCCTCATTACCCCACCCCCTCTTTCACCTGGACCACCGCAGGAGGCTTCTAATTACCCTGCCCCCTGGCCTCCTCCAGGAAGCCCCCCCAGGTGTTACCTGCAGGTGTCTGCCACGCTCCAGGTCCCTGGAGGGCAGGGGGCCCGAGGGCCCAGCAGCCGGCCAACTGTCATCGAGGCGGCCTGGGCTCAGGGAGGGGCAGGCCCGGCGCCCCAGGGTGGGAGAGGGCTTGGGGGTGCCTGAAGGGGAAAAGAGGGAAAGGCCTGAGGGGCTGGGCCCGCGGCCTGAGGGAGAACTCAAGGGGGTTGTGGGGGAGGAGGAGGAGGAGGACAAGGCCTGGGGGGCACTGAGGGGGCTGTGGGGGAAGGGAGAACTAAGGGGAGACCGGCCTGAGGGAGAATTCAAGTGGACTATGGGGGGGAAGGGAACTCCAAGGAGAGGTGGGGTGCCCTGAGGGAGGAAAGGCCCGGGGTAGGGGGCGGCCTGAGGGGGAACTCAACGGGGCTGTGGTGGGAGGGGAACTCTACGGAGGGGGGCGGGGCGGGCATTGAGGGGGCTGTGGGGGGAGGGAGAGCTAAGGGGGGGGGCCGGCCTGAGGGGAAGACTGAAGGGAGGAGGGGAAGCCTGAGAGGTCTGAGGTGGGAGCAGATGAGGGGGGGAATCCTGAGGGGAAAACTCAAGGGGACTGTGCGGGGAGGGAGAACCCCGAGGGCGAAAGGCCTGGGGCAGGGGGGGTCGGGGGGGGGAGAGAGGGAGGAAAGGCCCTGGAGGGAGGGTCAGGGGTGGAGAGGAGTCTCTTAGCAAAAAGAATGGAGTCCTGAGAGGAAGAGAGCCTCCAGGGAGGGGGCGCCCTGAGGGGGACGCCCTGAGGGAGAGGCTAGGGGTCTTGGGGCGGAGCCTGCTGAAGGGGAGGTCCAGCGGGAGGCGGGACCCGGAGCCCGGCTGACGACCGGAAGTGGGGGTGGGGCCGAGGGCGAGCCGGGTGGCTGAGGGGGTGCGCCGCCTCGGAGCCCCCGGTGGTCCTCGTCCGAGCGTCCACGTGCCCGGGCAGCCTCGGTGGGCCTTCTCCGTGGGTGGGGGCCTCGCACAGACGGAGCAGGCGAGTCCCGAGGCAGGGCTCCGGCCTCGGCCCTCCGAGGCCTCGTGGCCCCTGGCACCATTTGCCGCTCCGAGGGAGGCCAGAGTGCGCACGCGCGGGCCCCAGGCGGTGCGGGAGGCCGCCCTCCGGCCCGGAGGCTGGAATATCAAGAACAACCATGAGTAAGGTGCTGCTTATAAACCCCCAGCTTCACACGTTCGAGCTTCGTCTGCCCTTGTCCTGGCCGCCGCCGCCCAGGGCTTGTTGGCGTGGAGCTCGTGCAGGCCGTGCAGGCCGTGCAGGCCGGTGCTCGGGGCTCCCCAGACTGACCCTTCGAGGGCCGGGGCAACTTCCCCGAGGGCTCAGGCTGGACCCCGGGGCCAGGCAGAAGTCCATGCCTGCCGCCTCTCCGGAAACCTCCCCGCAATGTGCAGAAATCCTTACTCCTTCACCCAAAATGGGTCTCGTCTGAGTTTCTGGCCTCCTGGCCTCTCCTCTCCATCCTTCACACAGAAGAAAGATTACATTTTTTTTTTAATGCACAGGCTTGACCAGGTCTTGGCCTTGAATGTCTTCTGATGGTTTGAAGGATAAAAAAAAAAAAACCCTTGCCATGGCATTTAAGGCCCTTCATAATCTGGGTCTCAGTATCTTATCTAGCCTTAGCTCATTCCACCACCTTTACCGAGTCCCGCATCTCAAGCCAAGGGGACTATTAGCTGTTCTCTTTTATGCAGGCTGGCCTGTCTACCTTCTGGAAAGCATTACTCACACATCTCCTAGGTAGTCTTTCTCTTCCTTCAAAGCCCAGGTATAATGTCACTTCTTCCCAGAAACCTTTTATAATCACCTCAGCTCAAAGTGATTCCTCCTTGGTCAGATCTACTTGGGTGTTTTGTCTACATCTTTTTGCCTTACCATCCCCACCCCTATCCCCTATATACTTGTGCCCTTATTACCTGCCCCTGATCAAAATTCACCTGCTCCCTTTTTGTCTTCTCTGATATAACCACTAAATACTGATTGCTTCTTTGATCCTGATCCTGATTCTCCTGATACTTCCTGATTCTTTCCTACCTGGTTTTCACTGTTAACCTGTGCTTTTTAAGGTTTCTTTGTATTCTAGTGTATGTGTGTGTGTGTTTGTGTATTTTCTGTTCTGTCTTCTCCCAACTATGTGTTAGCTTTTCAAGACCAAAACCCTGCCAGCTCCTGTAGGCATCCTGTGTTACACATGGTATGTGGTCAATAAATATTTTACTCCTTTGGTGTCTTTCCACAGTCCTTATGGTGTTTTCTGCTCAGTTCTTTCATTTAATTTAACAAATATTTATTCAGAAACTACTCTGCACATACTAATGTGATTATTCTGCTTAAGGAATTTTTACTTACTGAGTATATGCTATGTAGAATGAATGAAGAGATAAGAATTTATTAAGCACTACCAAGTGCCAAGCACTGTATTAGCCCTGAGGATACAAAGAGAAAAAAGGGGGGGGGGAAGTCCCCTGCTCTCAGGGAGTTCACTCTCTAGGGGAGAGTTCATCTACAAGGCATGTGGAAAGACCCAGTAGTCATAAGGTTCAAAGGTCCTTAGGTGACATCAATAGGCCATATGATAGGAGGAGGTGGTCTGAGGGCAGATGACAAGGCCTGGTGGTAAGGAGTGATATCACTTCCAAGTCACTAAATTGGTAATTCATCCAAGCCCTGATAGATTATGAAAGAGTCCAGGACTGGTGGGAGGGAGAAAAATGGAAGGGCCTGGCGGTAGAAGGTAGAAAGTACCCATCCCTATACTTGAGGGGATACAAGAAGAATGAGATGCAGGCCTACTCCCAAAGAAGTTTTTATAACTCGTCAAGATATAACACGCACATGAAAAGAAAGCTAACAGTGGGAAACAATCTACATTAAGTATCCAATGAGTTCACTTAGACACCAAGAACTCTGAGACTGAGGTAGGAGAGCTCACTTTTTGTCGGGGAGAAAAAAATGTGCTTTGCACTTAAACACAAAATAACATAAACATTTCCAAATACAAAGTAGAACAGAAAAAGAGGATTGCTTGTGAAGCCTCATATTGGTATAATATACAGCTTGCTTTTCTTTTAAAATATATAATAAATTCAGTGTATTTTTTTCCAGAGCTGTCTTTGTTGCTTACTGATTTTACTGATTTCCTTTGTGTTTCCAATTTTCTTTTTGTTTTGTTTTGTTTTGCTGTGTATTTAGAAAATGCTTCAATGACCTTAGTACTTTTTTTTTTCCATTTTGGTAATCCCATCCCTCTCCTTCCCTCAGTTGAAAGAAAAACAAAACCATTGTATCAAAATCAAATTGTCAAACAATACAGATTTTCACATCTACCACCACTGTCATCTGCTTACTCTAGTGCTCCACTATGATCATGTAAAGAACTGTTGCACTGATTTTGAGTCACAGGCATTATTAGGTGCTTAGTGGCTTTCTTTATTCTATTAGTTGATTTTAAAAAAAGAGGAAAAAAAACCATTTCCTTCTCCAGCTCATTTTACTGATGAGGAAACAATACAAACAGTTGTCAATCAATACACATTTTCACATTGACTGTGTCGGAAAATGTACGCCTCATTTCTTCACCTAGAGCTCATCACTTCTCTATCAAGTGGTGGGTAGCATATTTCATCAACATCTGGAATCATGGATTGTCATTGATTGATCTGAGTTCACAAATCTTTCTTAGTTGTCATTCTTTACAGTTTTGTTTTTGGAAAAATTGGCTCCAGTCATTTTACTCTGCATTAGTTGAAAGCTCAGTTCAATTTAGGAAGTAGGAGGGTTCATAGAGGATATAGGATTCTGGTATGTAGAGGGCATTCTGAGTAGGGGTTTGTAAAGGCGTTAAGTTAGGACAATGTAAAACAAGGTGCAGACATGTGAAGAAAGCACCATGGATGGAAAAAAAGGTTTGTGTAATAGAGATATACAACTGTGAGATACCTCTTAGATTTTTCTAAATTTTAAATTATTCCATTTATAGTTGATCTCCCCATTCTCTACATTCTTATTGAATATTTTATTTTTTAAAAATTATATTAGTATATTTTGTTTTATAATCATATAAAATATAGCATATTTCCAATCAAATTCCTTTCAATGTACAATGCCAGATAATTAATAAGAACACTGATTTTTTATTTAAAAGGAAGTTCCATGGATGACTTTAGCTGATTGTACAAGCAACCTTGCACTTTCCATTTGTTAAAAAGAAAAGAGACGCCCACGTTCAGTGTTTTAGGCCAGCATTTTATGGCTATTTAGAATTGTCTTCATTTAGCGTTTTACTAATTGTTCTTTTGGTTCCTCTTGGCTCAGTGGATGTAATGTCACATCAAGCTATTTCTTTGCATTTCCCATATTCATCCTTTTCATGGCACAATAATATCGTATTAGTAACCCATTATGAAATGGGGTGATGGGAAATAGCCAGCAGGAGCACAGTCTTGCAAGCAAGCAAAATTGAGGCTCAGCCTGGCATCAAACCCCTGGGAGGTTCTTGGAGCCTGCTTCTGAAGGTGCTCCATGGGAAGGGAGGAAGCCCTTTATATGCTCTGTCAGAACATGTGAAGCTATCCTCTTACCTAATTTTTGTCAGCCTACTGCACAGGAACTAAAGCTAAGCTGGAACTAAATGTGTATACAAACTGTGTGAGCGGATGAAAGCTCAGTTTCCAAGGGAGGAGAAAGATGCTGTAAGCCTCTGTGTAGAGGAGCTTCTCCATCAGGTTGTCACATGGCCTTGAACACAATGCTTCTGTTTTGCTTTTCTTCTTTCCTGATCTTAGGTGAATGGTACTGGAGGTGGCTTATCCACATCACAACCTCATGAGCTTCAGAAGGTCTGAAGAGCCATCCGCAGTCCAACAGCTGGATTGTAGTAGCAGAGCGTACCAGGTGAGGAGACCTCCCTGAGGGTGTCGGCATGTTGGACCCACCCTGGGCAGAACATAGGCCTTGGTGAACTTGAGGGAGAGGATGTTGGCAGCCACCACTAAAATGAGAAGTTCACCTTCTTCTGGGACTGAAGGAGCGGGAAGAGGGTGCTTTGAGGTTTCTGAGGTTCTTGTAATTCTGTCCTTGCCATGCTTGTTCAGTAATGATCTCTTTGTTAAAGCTCACTGATGCTATTGAGAAGAGACTAAGTGGTCAAATGATATTGGGGAAATATTAAGGTGAGGGGAGGCTATTTATTGAAATGTGTCAGATGGAAGCTCATAAACTATTTTCGAGAAAGACATGTCTTACTCCTTTGGATCTACCCCTAGAACACTGAAGGATAAGTATAGTAAAAATAAGAATAAGAAGACGGTTTGGGAGAGTGAGCCCAGATCCTGTATTTTCTCTAAATAAATATGCCAGAGTTTATTTAGCCATTCCTACATCATCGGGGAAGTGGGTTCCTCCCTATTATTTGCTGTTACAAATGGTACCATTATGAATGCTTATATATCTATAGTAGTTGTTCTTGTTGCATAACTTCCTGGGGATAGAAATCCAACAATATGGAATGACCATGTCAAAATTAACTAATTTTGTATCTTATGTAATTACAAATTGTTATCCTCAAGTTCTCATTGAGAAACTAGTTCTTCTCTAATTTTCTAGCTTTGTTTTCTCCGGTTAATTAAAGATGAGATTCTGCTGGGTGGGATTTCATTCTAAGTCTTCCTGTTTCCCTCCTTTATCTACCCTCAATCAACTTTTCTATTTTTTATCCAGGTCCATATGCTTTTGATAATTAAATGCTTTATAATTTGTTATGGCAATGCCAACCTAAATTATTTCCCTAAATATTACTGAACTTTTTTTCCTCTGAATGAATTTTCTTATTGTGTCTAATTCTATAAAGTAGTCATTTTCAAAATGTGGTCTGTGAATTCCTGGGAACCACCAAGACCCTCTCAGGGGTCATTGAGGTCAAAACTACTTTCAAATTAATACTAAGATGTTATTTGTCTGTTAAGATATTCCTTCCTTTTCCAACTATCTATCTGCATGAGACCAGATTTTCTTTATGTGCTTCAACCAAAATAACATATCACAACAGACTTGAATACAGAAGCAAATAGGAGAATCCAGACATTCTTCTGTTAAGGCCAACATTTAAAAGATTTGCAGAAATATGTAAAACAATGCCATTCTTCTCACAATTGTTTTTGTCTTGGAAAAAAAAATCATTTTTCATTAAAAATATTATTTTTGTTGAGTTTGTTATCCTGACCTTGGAAAAGGAGAGGAATGCCGTCTCTTCCTCCTTTCCCCTGGAGGTTAAGGGTTAGGAGTCTCTCAGGAGAGCTCATCATGGGGCAAGTGACAGCACTGAAAAGTGGGACCTCTGGCAGCTGTGGATCCAGGCAAAAATTAACCTGGCACTTAAGATTCTGGCTGCAGAAACAAGAGGCCCAGGGAACCTAGCCGAGGGAGCTGCTCTTCAGAGATCCTGTGCTCTCGGGCAGCAACGTGAAGATCTCACCAGAAGAGAAAGGCCACTGGGGCTTCATGGAGCCAGATGGGTGAGGTGTTTTGGCCACATGAGTTCCCTACACATTTGCTTCTCTGCTGGTGTACTGCTATGGTGCCCACTCTTTTCACTGACATTTGTATGCATTTGGGGGAGTGCACCCCAGGATTATGAGGGGTAGTGTTGTATAGCGGTTTGCACTCTGCCATCTTAGTCCATCCTTTTGCTTTAGGGTTATTGTGTCTACAGGCTGACTACTGAGCTGTAGTTTTAGGAGTGGAAATCAGCCAGATGCCTTAAGCCCAAGGACACGATACTCTAGAAGACCAGAATAAGATTGTGAGTTGTAGAGGTAGCAGAGTTCCTAGAGGGGATGCTTCATTAGCTGGGGACCTAGTGTCTTTTCTTACCTTTCAAATCGGGATAATATTTGCATTAGAAACCTTGAATGGTCGCTGGAACATCACAAGAGATTAGTTCCTTGTATCCATGAGGGACCATCTAAATGGCAGCCACATTTGCACATGGGACAGATTGAACCAGGCCCAAAAGACCTGAGATGGGCATAGCATGGATATTTTTAGAAATGATCTGGACTGCCCCACTCCATGTCTCCAAGGGAGATTGCTATTTCCTCCTTTGTGGAAATTAGGACAGCTGTGATTAGGTGATTACTCCCTTGTCTGTCTTCAAGAGGGGGTGTGGCCTAGAATTTGGCCTATTACATTTAAGAGATTTTCAGTCCAGGGATGCAAAGCTCTTTTGGGTTTCAGAAACAAAGCCACTTTATCTGGTGGCTTGGAGGGTTGGGTGGAGGGGAAAGAGGCCCATTGCAGACCAGGAGGGTCATAGCTTAACCATGCCCAGTTTAGCTTCCCTCCCACCAAACACTTAATATACCAAATGCAATTGCAGCTAACAGGCAAACCTTAAAGGAAGCAGGGAAAATAGTGATTGGGAGAGTGACATTGATTGATTTAGATGATAGAATACACAAGGGTAAAGGAGCTTTGTGGCTTGGATGTGACATGAAATCTTAGCTTGACCAAAGAGACAACTATCTTCACTAGAGAAGTCTGCTCTTCTCTAGAGAAGTCTCGGGGTTTCCAGGTGCTAGGAATCCAGGGGCATGTTGGCATGCTGATCTTCCTTCCTGAGATAGCTGAAGCTCTAAGGGCACTCACTAGGCATTCCACACTGGGGCCAGGCCTCTTTTCCTCACCCTCTCTCTTGCCTTCTTTCTCCTAGCAGTCTCTGCTTCTTAGGAGTCCTCTTTTCCTCTATAACACATCAGGGATCATTCCTTTGGGACAGCCAGACCTGCCTAGGCTGGGCTTAAAGTTCCCACGACTGGCATAGATAAGTCCCACTGAAAATTAACTAATGCTTCCCTATTTTTTGCTTTCTACCAGTTACCGACTTCTTACAAATGGGCCAATGCAGACCAATGGAACAAATTCTCCAGAGCTTTTTAATTTTTTAAACATAATTTCTTGAGACGTAGTGTGGAATAGTGGAAAAAATGCTAAAGCAGAGACCTGGCTGGCTTGACTAACTCTGCGACCTTGAGAAAGTTGCTGTACTGCTACAGAGAATAGTTATTGTGATGTCTGTTTTCTAAGAGTATTTCAGGAAAAGTGCCTTTCAAACCTTAATACACTACACAAATGTGCATTGTGACGATTGTTATTGAAAGGTGTTAGGAAGGTCCCTACCAAATGCAGCCCCAGTCTCAAATATATTCTCAAATTGCTCTTATTCATTTTGAAATATATGCAGTTGTAGGGACCAGAGTTCAGTGTTACCCTAAATCAATGGACTGCATAAATGTCCACAAAGTTTTAATTGCATTTCTTCAGTTAAAAAAAAAGCTAGAAAATGATCAAAGGAGGTGGGAAGCCCAAATTCCTTCCTCTTAAGTTATTATTTAAATGACAGCTTTTTAAAATCTCTGGGTAGGGGGAAGTGAGGAGGGCAGAGAAACAGCTGAAAGCCTCCCCAAGGATGTTTGTTACCATGACTCTTTAGCAGTCAGCTAGCAACACATAGAGCCTGAGAAGAGATGGTGAATAAAAGCAGTTCTCTACCACTGACCTGTTCCAACCAGTTCATCAACACTGGAGAGGAGAGGGAGCAGGAGAAACAGTTGTCATAGTTACTAAAGCCCAGATAGAATTTCCAGGCTGAAAGCGCCAAGTTATTCTTAGAAATTACTAATGGCAGTGGAAAGCCTGGGCAGTGGAGGGAGGGGCTGAACACATCTACTTTGTTCCTTATTCTTGACTGGCAGGAACAGATTCTGACCAGAAAGTTGAAGCTTAGCACTTTGTAACCACTTTTTTCTTCCCTCCCCTCTCCATTCAAATACTTCTAAACTTAGCAAAGCCAAATTAAAGAAGCATTTCTGTATACATTATAGAATAGAGCAGAGGATTGCACCCAAAACTGCAAATTTCCAATACATAGATTAGCAGCATTTCTTAAGTTGATTTTTTAAATCTTTTTTAATAGTTTATATTTCCCCCTTTGTTCTCTCCCTCCCATCTCCCAAACAGCTATTTCTTATAAGAAAAAATTGGGGGGGAGGGGAAGAAGGAGAGCAACAAATTCAGTCAGATGTATCAATATATTAAAAAAAATCTGGCATAGCGATGTTCCACAATGAATGCAATGAACCAGTGCGCGCCCCCCCCCCCCCACTTCACAGAGGAGCAGCTGTTTTCTCATACCTCTGCTTGGGGGACAATGCTTTTTACAATTTTGCAACACTCATTTTTTATTATCTACATTGTTGTAGTCATTGCATCTATTACTTTTCTGGATCTACTTGCTTTAATTTGCATCATTTCACTTGAGTCTTTCTACACTTGTCTGTGTCCATCCTGCTCATTGTTTGTTGCAACACAGTAATATTCCATTCATGTACCAAAATGTGTTTTACCTCTCCCAAGCAGTGGGCATCTATTGTGTTTCTTTGCTACTCCCCAAAGCTGTGTAATTTCTAGTTTGGAATCAGGTTTTCTTTTTGCAGTCTTTCTAGTTGAAAGGCAACATCATGAGCCCTGAGCTGAATCAGAAGACGTGCTTAGAGACGTGCAGCTCTGTCACTTCCTGCCAACCTGTGTGGCCTGGTACAAATCAGCCAACCTTTCCAGACCTGAGTTTCTTCATCTTTAAAATTAGGTGATTGAAATAGATGACTTCCGAGGTCTCTTTCAGATCTTAACCTAGGATGCTATAAATTTCAGTAGGATAGTTTAATAGATCTGTGACTTCATGGATGTAAGGCATTTCCTCAGACTGTGTAAACTGCATCTCATCCTTCCTTCCTTCAGGTGAGAAACTAAACTGTCCTGGGCAAAAATTTTTCTGGGTCCCAGCGACACATGGAACATCCCAAATAGAAGGTCCAATTTTCTTTCTTCACTGGGAAAAGCTGGCTCTTAAAAAAAAAATCAACTCACAAAAGCTCCTAAGAAGTAGAGAGATCCCCCCAAAGTATTAATCACTTGGAGTTTATTATTAAAGGTTTCTAAGCCAAGGGGCAAAACTTAGCCTGTGGAGATACAGTTCTAAGATCTCAGACAATCTGGATTCATGTCACAACAAAGCCAGAATTCTTAGTCTGTCAACATTTTTCTAAGTTGTTTGTTTTATTTCCTGCAGTGTGCTTGCTTTTCAGGTGTTTGGGTTTGTTGTGGGAGTTCTTTTTCTGTGAGAATCTTAAGTTTTCTTTGGGTAACCTGTCTTCTAGGTCAGTTGCTTTGGTTCACATAGAATTCATGGTTTGATGGCTGTTTATACTACTAGAAAGAGTATTTGAACTAGGAGTCAAAAGATCAGAGTTCGATGCTAGCTGTGATACTGTGTGATTATGGATGTTATGCTACTTCTCTGGGGCCTCATTTTGTTTCTTATCTATGGCATAGAGATAATATTTACACGACTACCTTAGAGGATTATGTGAGTTAAGCAAGTACTTTATAAAGTACCTACTGGCAACCAATCTACCTATTAAAAAAGAAGAACAAAGAGAAGTTAGTGGACCTCAAACTCAAAGTGATTGGGTACTCTCCACTTCCCATGGGAATCCCCAGGATGATAGCATTATATTCAAGGACCTCTAGAATGTGGACCTTGTTTTACCTCTCCAGTCTTATCTCTGGTTACTCCCAAATAGGACCCACCAAACTGCACACAGTAGGAGTATAATAACATGCTTGTTGACTGACTGAGCCGAGAGACCGTCTGATTGACCTTTGCTTGTTTTGTGCCTTTTAACCTAGAATTTTATCTCACTCCTTTCTGCCTATTTAGCACTTAACAAAAGTATTCCTCCCTCACCCCCTAACATGTTACAATAAAGCAGGAATCATGAAGGATAAGAATGTTATATGATAGGCTAATCTAGTATTATGTAGAGTTTAACATAACTAGTTGCTGCTTTGCTCTGTTTAACTGTTTTATATTGAATATATTTACATATTTATACAAAATTTACATATATAGTTACATGTTTATATCAAACAACATAATATATAGTTGACAAAATACAGTATCTGTGGTAATTTTATAAAAAAAGAAAACCAGGTTTTGGACATAGCTCCATATCATAATATTGTTTTCATGGAGAATTTATATGTTGGTACTTTCTTTTCCAGGGCCGTATCTCACCAAGAATACAAGGACTGCAACTACTGGTAAGCAGATTGTCTTTAAAATGAGATAGCAGCAGGGAGATTTTTTTAAAAAGTGATTCAAGTTTTCTAGGTTTTCCCAAAGTTTTATTGAAAATCCACGCTATGCTGAGAATCTGGCCATCCTGGTAATCATTAAAAGTCTAAGAGTTTATGGGAGGCACATGCATTCCTCCTAAACTACTTCCTTTGGGTCATTACCACACACATTCTTCCAAGGTCTGTAGCCTGCCAAGACTAAAAATTGGCAAATAGGGTTTGAGATTCTGCACTTTGGGCATGAAACAGCCTCTCCCTGCATTATTGAAGGATCTGGGAAGAATTCAACCAGTTACAGGCCAAAACCATTAACCCATTCGAACAGCGAGAGGTGCCATGTTAAAACAAACGTACCAGCAAAGTTAAACAGCAGTTCTAATAAAAAAAAATCCAAGATGTCTTTGACCACCTCATCGGTCCAGTTTTTCTCTAGAAGAGTTCTAGATGTCACCAAATGTATGCTACAATGTATCAAGAAGTGGGAAGGGCTGATTAAAAGGACTTTACTGTTTTTAAGAAACTTATGATTTCTTTACTGCTCAGGGCCTAAAAAATCTGGCATAAATAGAATATTTCAACAAGCTCAAACTCTCCTGACCGTGTCAATATCATCTCAATTGTACTCATAACTCTAGCCAGCAGACATTCTGGGTTTTTTACTATGACACACTATTCAGGTAGAGAATAGGGGGGCATGTTCAAAAAGAGAGGAGAGGTCGGTATTTTATATGTAGCCAAAACCAGGGCAAAACCTATAAAGAAGGATTTGCTTTTTTCCTTATTAAAAAAGTTTTATTGACTTCTATTGTTATTCTACCAGTCATTTCTTGATCAACCCCGTACTTCCACATGCCCAACCACACACTGAACTTTCCCTCGCTACATAGAAAAAAAGATTAAGCAAAACACAACAGTAAATGGAGGGGGGGAGAAGAGAGGGGAGAGAGGAGGAGACTTTGTTTCATCATCTGTGCTCTGAGGTGAAGATAAATAAAGCATTTATTAACTGTTTGCTATGTGCCAGACACTGTGATAAGTTCTATGGAGTCAAACACAAGGAAACAAGACCAGCCATACACTCAAGGAGCTTACATTCTAATTAAAGGAACATAAAACAGAGAAGTGAGGAGGTGAGTGAAGGTATCAGTGAAAGGGCAGTCTGGAGAGTAAGGGGAGCTGAGATTGAAGTGAACATGACCAAGGCTCTTCAGGAAATGGTGATCCTGGCCAAGGACCCAGTCAGGAGAGAAGGAGGGTAAAGGCATCTCAAGATGAACAAAGCTTCTGGTGAGGAGGTGGAATAGTCCAGAGAATGAGATAAGCTGGAACCAAGGCTGCTTATTGTAGCTAATCCAAGTTTGGCTCAGTTCCTAAATTCCTCATAGTCATTATGTCCGATAGCACCGTGGTATGCCATTCCATTCATATGTCCAAATTTGTTCAGCTGTTCCCAAGTTGATGGGCAGTTGCTTTATAACCGTTTTGTCATTTGGTTTTTCTGTGGCACAAGACTATTTAGATAAAGGTTCCCCAAAAAAAATTCTAGTCTGTAAGTATATCAGGCTGGTTTCACCAGCTTTATTTCTATGCTGGACTTAAAGGGAAATCTTTCTTAATTTGAGTACAAGTAAATGGACTCAAGATGAATAGGACAGTCACAGTATCCAGTGACTCTGGACTGTGAAAGAATTTTGAGCCCCTGGCTGCTTCCTTAATAGTTTAATCCTTGGAGAGTTACTGAAAGATGCCATCCAAGTCTTTACTATTTAAAAAGTAAAAGAGTGAGTCGTGTCAGGGACAGTGCTCCTGTAAGGGGGAGAATTAGCCTAGATAGTTACTCTGCCACGGTTAAAAGTATGTGGCCCACTAATGCTAGCAGGTCCAACAATTGCCTGTCTTTGGGAGCTGAGAATAGCCTGAGCGTGATGAGGAAAGGCTCCACAAAGACCCCAGAAGACAAGCTACACCTTTACCAAAGACGACCACCTTAGGGACTCTAGCAAAGGGATTTCCAGGAGCTGTGAGTTAGCCCTTGGCCACATGGGCTTTTTTTGATCCCACTTTCCCCTGGACTTGGAATGTACTTATATGACAGTGTCACAGCATTTCAGGGGATGTATGCCAACTGTTCTTACCATATTAAGTAAATACCTGTTTCTAAAAGCTGATTGAGTCTGGCTAACTAATAACAAATAGTAATCATGGGGTGCAGCACACAAGTGGGGGCCCATGAGCTGGCATTACAAATACTATCCGCCGGCATTCACTATTACCCCAAGAACCCTGAGGGTAGCATCTGCTCTTTGGGGACCCAGCCTGCCAGTGCAGAATACAAGCAGTTCTCTAACACTGACCTGTTCCAACCAGTTCATCCACACTGGAGAGAAGAGGGATCAAGAGAAACATAGTTACTAAAGCCAGGATAGAACTGGGAGAGTAAATCTAACCTTTGCTACCCTTACCTCCATTAAAAAAAAACAAGGTTATTCACAGTGTCTAGAATATAAGTAGGTATTTTAATGAGTGAGAAATGAATGCCAAAGGTCTCCTCTAGCTCAAAAACCCTCTGAATCTGAATATAGTCAGATCTCTAAGACTATGGAGGTTAGGGGTTATCTAGTCCCAAACTCTAATCCACAGGATAATCCTTTCTGCAGCATCCAAGAGATGTTTATTCTAGCCTCTCTTGGAACATTTCTAGTGAAGAAGATCTCATATTCCACGACAGTGAATCCTAACTTTTTTTTGATGTCTCTAATTATTTGAATATTTAATATGGAATCAAAATATATTTCCCCAAACATTTCACCTATTCTAGTCCTGTGCTCCAAAAAGACAGAATTAATCAAAGCCCCCTTCCAGGACAGGTCTTAAAGGCCATTATTGTGTCTGCTTTTAAGTTTTCTCTTCCTTGTAGCACAGATCCCTTATTCCTTCAGCTGACCTAGGAAGGTCATTTTAGACCCCTCTTGGGGAGCTCCTAGTCTGTCAGTATCTTTTTAAATGTACCATATAGAACTGTATGCAGTAGCCTGGGTCTTGTCTTACTTGTTTGGATGAAAGGGGTCTGTTAACCTTTAAAACTTCTATGGTGTCAGGCAGTTCTCTCATTAAGGCTGCTCCACACAGAGCACCAGGCTCAGCTGTCAGCAAACTCTGTTATGGGCTTCTGTCGCTGTCCTCCAATCTGTCAGTGCTTACAGGTTCATGGCCTAGTCCATATGATCTTTAATACCTCTTCACTTAAGAGCAGGAAAGAGTAGCACAATAAGGACACGAGCCAAAGTGGGGCCATGCATTCACAGGCACGTGGCGGCAACCCAGAAGAGGAAGGGCCCAAGGCTTCCTTTCTGACCTGGAATCTAGCATTTTGTACTCCCCACCCAAACCCAGCCAGAAAATAAAGAGAAAACACTGGCAGGTAGTCAACCAAAAGGCTTTCCTTCATCATGCAGTAAGGGGCAGGAAATAGAGAATCCCTCCCTGCCCCTGCCCTGAAATGGAGAGCTTGGCCCTCTATCCACATCATCACAAACTTCCAAATGCAAGTTTGCCACCAGGACTCTGTCAAACTCCAAGGACCTTCTCTAATATGTTGCCATCATTACCACTAGGTCAGAGGGTAAGTACTGTTTAGTGACTTATGTGAAATAGTTGCAAATTACCTTACAGAATGGCTGAAACAATTCACTGCTCACCAACAGTGCATTCATGTACTTTTCCTCCAATAATTGAAATATTCCATTTTTGTCAGCTTCGTAAACCTGGTAGGTAGAATCTCAGTTGTTTCAATTTGTATTTCAGATTATCAATGATTTGAGACATTTTTTTTATTCATTTAGCTGTTTAAATCTTGGATTTCTTCCTTTGAAAACTGCCTGTTTATATCCTTTGACTATCAGTTAGAGAGAGGTTCCATTTCTTTTATATAATTTGAATATGTTCTCTATATATCTTGGAAATGAAATCTTTAAACAAAATTGCACATTTTTTTTTCTCCTTTGACCTTCTCTATTACATCTAGATCACTTGAATATAATTTTTAAATAAGTTTTTTTAAATTGATATTATCCTTTTTTTCACATGAAGAGTCAAACATGTGGCCTGAAGAGGGCCCAACAAGAGTAAAATATAATTGGGAAATATTTAACAAAAACACAACAGAACATAGATGTTAATATGTGGTCTTTTAAGCCTGTTATGGCCTGGAATACTTTTACATGGTTTATGGCCCCGTTTTAATTTGAGTTTGATATTGCTGTATTACACCATCATAGTTATGCCCAATATCTCTCCCCTTCTTCCTTCCAGAGAGTCATCCCACGTAATAAATAACATTTTTTAAAGAGGAAAAATTCAGTACAACTGATCAATACATTGAAAAAGTCTGAAAACACATGCAATGTGTAACCCTTGTGGCACTCCTACCTCCACAAAGGATGGGTTATGATTGTCCTCTCATATCTCCTCATTTGGGTCATGCTTAATCTTTATGGTTTTGTTACATAAGCTTTTGTGTGTGTGTGTGTGTGTGAGTTATTTCCGTTTACATTGTTGCATCCATTGAGTATATTATTTTTTCGTCTCTGCTCACTCCACTCTGCATCAGTTCATAGAGATCTTTCCATGCTTCTCCATGTGTATTCATCACACACATCATTTTTTCAACACAATAACATTCCGTTACATTTATGTACCACAATGTGTTTAACCACTCCCCAGTTGATGGGCCTCCTCTTGGTTTTCAATTCCTTACAATTCCAGCACAAAAAGTGCTGCTATGAACATTTTGGGATATATGGGGACCCTTTTTCTTATTGATAGCTTCCTTGGAGCATAAGCCCAGTAATGGACTCTCTGGTTCAAAGGGTATGTGGACATTTTAATCACTTCATTTGGATAATTCCAAATCACTTCCAAAACGGTTGCGCCATTTCACAGCTTCACAGTGTTCCTATCATCCCATAGCTCTTCTGACATTAACTAGTGCTATTTCTTTTGTTGTCTTTGCCAATTTTCAGGATATGGAATGAAACCTCAGGGTGGTTTTGATTCTCATTTCTCTTATTATTAGCGATTTGGAGCATTCTTTCTTGTGGTTGTGAATACTTTGCAATTATTGTTTGTTCATATCTTTTGATCACTTAAATTGATTGTATTTTAACAGATGGAAAAAAGTCTTTTTATTGAGATGGCAGTCTTCCCTGAAGCAGTTGTCTTTGTATAGTCAGAGCACCAATTTCTCTGAGGAACAGTCAGAATTAATAAAAAGGTTTTTTGGATAATAATGAGAAAGAGTATTCTATGCAAATGGAAAAATTCAATTCTCAAGTAATGGATCATGAAAAATGGATAATGAACAGAAGAAATGACAAGACAAGTTATAATTTAATATAAAGGTTTAACTGAAGGAGAAAAAAAAGGAATCTTAGCAAACATTGGATTTATTTGTCGAATAGAGAGTGATGCTGTCCACAGTCAACCCCAATTTAGAATGTAAGTTTGTTTGTAAATTTTATGAAGAAGCATGATGGGGTATTGTGAGCAGTGGAGGGTAGAATCAATGTGAAGAAAGCTTGGCAGGTGATCCAACCAAGCAGTGTCATCCTCAGGGGATTTAATAGTGAAAATGGGAGAAGGACAACAAACAGAAGAAAAACTGAAGAGATCTGCAGAGATTTCCATAGCAAATTGTTCTCACCATAAAGGACAGTAGAGCCACTACTAACATTGTATTCTGATATTCCAGTCCTGACGCTCTCGCAGAAGAAGAAGAAAGCACACCAAAGAGAACAAGGGAGAGAAAGAAGATGGATTGGAGGAGAATTCTATGTCTCAGGTTCCTAATCTAAACGTCACCCCGGATCTCCCTCCCTCATTGTACAGATTCCTTCACAGCATCTTCAGTGGACCCCCTGTCTTCACTCATACAGCTGCTGCCTTAGGTCAGTTCCTCATCCCCTCTCACTTGGATTATTGCAAGAGCCTCCACAATGATTGTTTTGCCTTTGTTCTGTGTACTCCTTACAGAGAAGTCTTCCTTAAGCACATATGTGACAACGGGACCTCCCTACTCAATTCCAGATTCTAGAAGCTTCTTGTTGCCCGTAGAATCAAATATAAAGTCCTCTGTTTAGCTTTGAAAGCATTATACAACCTGGCTCTGACCTATCCTTTTCAGCCTCATTGGACATTACGCCCCCTCCTGCCCTCTGAGATCCAGCTAAACGGCCCTTCTCTCTGCATTTGTTCTCTCTCTCTCTCTCTCTCTCTCTCTCTCTCTCTCTCTCTCTCTCTCTCTCTCTCTCTCTCTCTCTCTCTCTCTCTCTCTTTCTCTCTCTCTCTCTCTCACTCTCCCTCTCCACCCCCCCCGCCCCGGCCCCAGAGACAATCAGGGGTTAAGTCACTTGCCTAGGGTCACACAGCTAGTAAGTATCTGAGGCCAGATTTGGTTTTTTTGTTTTTGTTTTTTTGTGTTTGTTTTTTGTTTGTTTTTGTTAGGCAGTGGGGTTAAATGACTTGTCCAGGGTCGAACAGCTAGTAAGTGTTATGTGTCTGAGTCCGCATTTGAACTCAGGTTCTCCTGAATCCAGGGCCAGTGCTCTATCCATTGCATCACCTAGCTGCCCCATGTCTGCCTATTCTAAAGTGTCAACGTTCACACTGAAAATTTAACAGCCCTCTCTTGCAAGGTTGCAGCTGGCTCTAGCACACCCCTGGTCCTCAATTTTTTATGAACTTTGTAGTGAAAGCTGAGGGACAACACTGCCATGAATTCTGGTACCCCTAACAGTTGATGAGCATAGGAAGGCCAGCTTCTAGACTAGAAGCCGTCTCTGCGTGCTGTTGAGATCAGAACTGTAAGTCAAGAGATGATGAGCAAGAGGGAAGAGCCACAGGGGCCCTCAGTCAGGGTGAGAAAGCCCCAGGCTCAGCCTGTTACCGCCCCCCCCCCCAGCTGGTGGGCAGCCTTTCACCGCCAAGGAATTGGGAGAGGTTTCAAGAGAAATTACAGCTGGGAGTCAGTGAATCACTGGGCTGCTCAGGATGGGGTCCCTGGGAGCAGCATGTTTGTTGTTGTTGTTGTTATTGTTGTTGAGTTGTTCCAGCTGTGTCTGACCCTCTGTGACCCCATGTGGGGTTTTCTTGGCAGAGTGGTCGGCCATTTCCTTCTCCAGCTCACTTTACAGATGAGGAAACTGAGGCAAACAGGGTGAAGTGACTTTCCCAGGGTCACACAGCTAGTGAGCTGTCTGAGGCCAGATTTGAACTCAGGATGAGGAGTCTTTCTGATGCCAAGCTCAGTGCTCTGTACTACCTAGTTGCCCTGGAGCAAATATGGAGAAGCCTTCTTCTACAGTCCAGTTCCATGTGCTGGAAGAGTGAGATGCTTTACCCATAAACTACCTTTGTCCCCTTTTTGATGGCTAACATTGGAAGTTGTCCATACCTGGTCCCATGAAGGAACTTTTTGTTGCACCTGGTTCTTTATAGGAATCTGCAAAAGAGAGAGTGAATTTTCTAAAGGAATTGGGTTTGATAGATTGGATGGGGAAAGGAGGGGATGCAGTATAGAATTTGGCCTACCCCATCCTATGACATCAGGGAAGCACTGTGAATACAGTGCTGGGCCTGGAGTCAGGAAGACCCTGAGTTCAAATCTGACCTCAGACATTTCCTAGCTGTGTGACCCTGGGCAAGTCACATAACCCCTATTTACCTCAATTCCTCAGCTGTAAAATGGGGGGCGCACCACAGAAGGAAACGGCAAACTACCACAGTATCTTTGCCATGAAGAGTCAGACACGACTGAAGATTTCAACAATATCAACAACAGCCCTGAGAGCAGCTGGGTAGCTCTCCCCCCAACACTTTCAGGTTTTAGCTTTCTTTCTTTCCTGATTACCAGCCTACGAGGATATTAATAAGACCGGTCATTAATCTTATAAAGAGGATGGCTGCAGGAGCTCTTAATTTGGAGTCCACAGACCCTGAAAATAGATTGCATGGGGACTGTGAATGTGAATGAGAAAAAAATTACATTCTGATTTTCACTGAAGTGGGTTTTGTTTTGTTTTTTCTTGGTAATCTTTTTATTTTATTTTCTGAATTCAAAAAGATTATTCTGAGGGCAGCTAGGTGGCACAGTGGATAGAGCAACAGGCCTGGATTCAGGAGGACCTGAGATCAAACCCAGCCTCAGACATATAACACTTACTAGCTGTGTGACCCCCCGGGGAAGTCTCTTAACCCCATTGCCTAGCCAAAAAAAAAAAAAGATTATTCTGAGAAGAGGTCAGTAGGCCTGTCCAGATTGCAGAAAGGATCCATAATATAAAAGAAGGTAACCCCTGACCTAAGCAGAGGGGACCCTGGCAAGTGGGCTGGAGCCGCAGGCTGCATGGCTGGTGTAGGAGGGACACTTGAACAGAGGCTTTTAACCTTTTCTGTGTGTCCTGGACCCCGGGACAGCAGTCTGGTGAATCCCTTCTCAGAACAATGTTTTTAAATGCATAAGATACATAAGATTACAAAGGAAATCAGCTATGTACAGTCAAGGCCACAAGCATTTATTAAGCACTTACTGTATGCCAGGCAGTGTGCTGAGGGCTGGGGATACAAAAGAACAAAAGGGGAAGTCTCTGCCCTTGAGGAGCTTATATTCTAAAGGGACTTCTCCCACCACATAAAAGAAAGCTGAAAAAAGGAATGGAAAGGAAGGTATCTGAGTGGAGGAGGGTAAGGAAAGAAGTCCAGAGGGACTGGAGAAGTGCCCAGAGAATGATGAAAATGTGGAAGGAGCTGGCCTGGGCACTTTAAAATAGGGGTTCTGGAAGGAGCAGATCAACCCGAGGAAGGGCCTGCAGGTGTGGAGTGATCTTCCAGGGGAGAAGACTGTCATGGTGAAGAAAGAAGGCCAGAAGGTCAGGAGTGGAGTCTGCAGAGGACTGAAGAAGTGAGCATAAAGATGACATTTTTTCCCATGCAAGTTCATGGACCCCCTAAAATCTATTCCCAGACTCCCAACAGGTTAAGAACCTTTAGCTTTAAAGTATAGTATGGAAAAGATCTTTATCTACACTGATTCTTGGGTCTGGCCAAGTCGTCTTGCGCTTTGGAGGTCTTTGGCTGATGGCTTCCCATTGCACAGAGTTCTTTGTAGAACCCATCAGTTCCTCTGCTTTCCACTTAACTAGACTCCCAGATTGGAGCCCTTACAGGAACAGCAGAAGTTGCCAATCAGGATAGGAAGTCTGTAACACCATGTGGTTCTGGGCATTTGACCATATGATCTTCGTAAGGATGAAGTAGGCACCCCATCCCACTGGACTCTTTGTGCCAATTGGAGCGCCTACATGACCCAAATGGAGTTCAACCTATCTCCAACTGATGAATTGACCTTCTTCCCCCATCCAAGAGCAAGAGGTTTGTGCCCGCTAATCAGCTGCATTATCATGCCCCTAACTTCCCAAGACTATGTCAAATCAGTGCCACCTGAGGAAAGAGAAGGGCTCTCTGGTGGCTAGGATTAACCACTTAGCAGTTTCTTGGATCTAGTTTCCAGGAAAACTTAGCTGATAATCCATGAAGAAACATGCTGTCCATCACCAGATAGAGAACTAATGGACTCAGAGTGCAGATTGAAGCATGTTTTCTTTTGCATGACTTATACATTTTTGTAATGGGTTTTGTGTTTCTTGCCTTCTCAATGGGTGAGGGAGGAGGAGGAGGAAGAGGAGAGAATTCCAAATTAAAAATACAGTGAAACTGAATTAAAAAAAGAAAAAACTTACCTGATCAAAATGGACTGCTTTGGGACATAATTATGGCTGGTCATCTTCAGCCTTTCCCTGATGCTTTCCTCTGCAGAGCTACTTGGGCCTCAAGGCCTCTGCTCCCTCAGGGGCTCAGTACATCCTGGGGAAATACCTCAGTTTCCCTTCCATTGATAGGCTTCCTTTCCTCTGGTGGTTCAGCTCCTTCCCGAAAGAACTTAGAGGACCAATGGATGGTATTGTTGGGATGGGCCTTACTTTCTGGCAGTGGGGAAGTGACCCTTTCTCTGTATAACTATGGTGAATATGTATGAATCTGGAAGAAATTAGATTGTCTAGCTGACTTAATGAAACCCAGGATGAAGAGCCCTTTTTTGGCCCCTGTGGAAGAAAGGAGCAGTCCCTTTAGAGAGCCCTTTAAAAGAGCAGAATTTAATCTCATCTCCCAGTGTATCCCCCAGGGAATGGGAGGCTTTGGTGGGTGAGCCAGAGAACACTGAGTGAGTGACGGGACAGGGAGGACCTTAGTATCAATTTAGATCCCAGAGCAGGCTTTATGCAAGAGACCTCCCCTCTTGACTGTTTTACTAAAGACGACCCTTCTCTGTGATGGAGAATTGAAGACTGTGCCAAGGCATCATCATCTGTGCCACTCTTGCTGATTGTCACTGCCTTACATCGGGAGGCCCACTTTGCCAACCACATGGACCAATCCTTCTGAAGTGGGGAGGTAAACCCAGGATTTTTGCTTTTCATTCTCCTCTATGTTTTTGATCACTGCTTCATGGGGTTGTAAATTGTTCTAGGTCTGTTTTGTTTCTGCTATCTTTTTAATGTCATTCTTGCTCCCTCCCCCATACTGCCTTCATGCCAGGCTTCTCACATCTGCAAGGTTAGGATTGTCCAGTAAAAACCCTAAACCATTTAAATGGTGAAAGGTCCTCTTAAAGCTCCTCCAGACCTTGCCGCCAAGTTGGGATATGACAGCATCACCATCTGCCAGGTTCTTCACCCACATGCAGGTTAGTATCAGTGGGCAAACTGTTCTGAGGGCTGATCAAGCAAAGTCTTAGTTGATACAGTTTCCACGTAGCCTCTGTCCATATTGACATGGTGTGCTGGTCATCTGTGGGCATAAAAGGCCCACCCACATAGAATCAGAGCTCTTCAAACTTATCAGACGTTTAAAGGCCAGAGACCTCCTGGCTTACTTCAAGGGTCAGCTCACATATTCCCTTCTTGCCCTGCTAATGCCTCAGAGATGACCTACTATTTATCTTGGATATATTTTGTGCCTATGTAGTTATTTGCATATTGTGTGTCACTATAATGTGGAGCTTCTTGAGAGGAGGGGCTGTTGTCACCTTCATTTATCTACCTTTATGTCTCTAGCTATTAGCACAGTATCTGGCGCTTAGCAGGCACTTGATAAATATTTGTTGACTGACTGACATCCTTGTCTGCTGACTAGACTATTTTTTTCTTACAGAATTAAGTAGGGGGTTGGTCTGTTACCAAAGGTAAGTACTACAATATTCTTATTGACCGTTCTTTCTATGGTAGAGCTAAGTCAATCTCGTGTTAACTGTTGAATGAGAGTGTCTCATTTCATTTCAGTAATGAGCTTATCTGAACAGGGGACCTGCTGGATTCATTCCCACTCATGCTAGCAGACGTGGATGGGCTTGACCGGCATCTTTGGAGTGAAACTCTAAACAGATAAGATCACAAGTCCGTTGGAGTCGGGATAAGGCTCTTCTTTTAGGAACACCGTCTGTTCTATTGTTGCCCAAATGCTCCTATTTTGACCAGCTTTTCCTGCTTTTATTTAGAAAGAAACTCATTTAATTTCTATAATTTTTATACTTCATGAGACACAGGCCCTCAGAAAAATAGACAATTTGAATCTCTGAATATGGTAAAGTTGACCTTTTAACTTTAGTGAGGTCTTTGGGGAAGGATTTGAGCCAACTGTCCTTTGAATCAGCAAAGCCCCAAGGCTATCTTCTACCTTGCCCAAGTTCTGACACTAATGAGGCTGCTCTGGAGGTCTCACACGTCCAGCATCTCTGAAAATCACAGTGCAAAGAGGCTGTGATTCTTTCCTACCAAAGTAACAAAACTAAATAGATCAAGCTGCTTTCTCCTTGATTTGAAGATTTAAAAAAAAATCCCTTCAATGTCTCCCTCAAGCAATGCTATGGGGCAAAAATGTCAATACTTAAAGACCTTCCCTTATTTTTAACCCAGACCTAGTTAAGAGGCCATAACTCATTCCCACCATTATGGAAAACACATGGTAGAAATAACCAGCTGAAACACTAGAAATGACTTTAAAAAATCATTACATTTATCTTGTAAGGACATTTTAAAACATACAATATAGACAATTTCTTTTGATAAAACATTTTAGAACAAATTCATACAAATTCAATGAGAAGTTACACAGTGATGTGGCATTTTTTAAGCATTTCAGAATTTACTTTGTATTTTACTAGTTAGAATGAGCTTTACACATTTTCTCCAAACTGCTTTGCTCTTTTGGGAAAAAATGCAAATTTCTTTCCCAGGTGCAAAGAAAAGAGCTGGTATTTTTAATGGCACCATTTGGACATATGTTTTTGTTATTAAATGAATGCACAAATGAGCATGTGATTTCATCAAGTCAGGGAAATCATGATCCCTTTCCCCCAACTCAGATCATAACCTCTTTATGATTTTAAGAGTTGCTTGAGTTGCAGAAAGATCACGTTCATATGTTGAGAGGTCAAACGGCTACCAAGTATCAGAAGTAGATTTTCGGTATTCCCCGGACCATACCCAGCATTATCTTGTTATTAGGCATAGTGCCTTTATTTTTTATTACAAACCAGCCACCATTATTTATGTTTCAAACAATTAGAAACTAAAAGACACAGAAACCAAACTGGTTTGTCTTCTGTACAAGTAAACAGATCAATTTAGTTTTCCGACTCCTATTCCTCCCTTTTGGACACTTCAGCCTCTGTCAGTTGTGTTTTCTATACATAGTATGCCATATTTCTTCTCCAAGCCTCTGCAAAGATCATTACCTGGGTCTAGAAAATGCGTTTCCTCTTCACTTCATCTTTTCAAGTCCTTAGCTCCTGCCAAGGCTCAGCTCAGGACACCTCTAAATGTAACGATTGTCCTTAGTCCTGATTTGTGAACTGTCTCCACCCCACCAGACTACTTTATATTTATGTAGGGTGTTTTGTTATATTTTGTGCGGTCAGACTCTGGACTTACTCTCCCAACTAACATCACCACTAGAAGGTTGGGTCCAAGAGAATGACTTCCTTTATTTCCCCCTGAGGGTTCTAGGGGTATGCTTAAGGGGCAGTAGAATTCTTTTAATGTATCTACTTAAGCCCCCACTCTGATGCGTTTCCTCCACCATCAATTGACCAGTTATTTATTTGATATCCTCTAAAAAGTACAAGTTAATGTCTCCTCAATGTTGTCGGTTATTTGATTGTTCAGTCATGTCTGACTCATTGTGACCCCACGGACTATGTTCATGCGATTTTCTTGCCAAAGCTACTGGAGTAGTATACTATTTCCTTCTCCAGTGTGTCCCCATTTTAAGATGAAGAACTGAGGCAAATAGAGCTCAAGTGACTTGCCTAGGGTCACACAGCCAATAAGTGACGGAAATTTTTCTGCTTCCAAGCCCAGTGATGCGCTGCCCCACCCAGCTGCTCCACCCAGCTGCCCCCCATGTCTCCTCAATATATTGATACCATTGATTAGAGCCCCTCTATCAATTTAACCAGTTGATTTTTTCTTATTATCAACTAATTAAGCTTTTACAAAGGGATACTTACTGAAAAGATTTAGCATAAAGTTGAAATATCCCTCTGAACCAGGGGCACACTCTACCCTCTACCACCTTGGTCCCCAGAAAGGTAGGCTCAGCCCTAAAGCCAGTGCTACAAAACATTTCTCCCAAGAGTCTGCTCCCAAACACTGCGTTGCCAGTCGGTGGTGTCGCTTCCTCGCTGGCTGCCAGGTTGACTGACTGCTGTGCTGGATACAGCAGGTCGCTTCTCAGAGCTGCAGTGGCACCTCACCTGGCGTGGCTGCAGTGGCTACAACAGTCTCTGCCATAGACTCCCATCGTTGAACCTCCGCTGCCTCCTCCAGACATTTAAATCTCATCAGGTCGTTCTGTCTCCAGTACTGCTTCATCTAAGAACGGGAAAGAGTAGATAGATGCAACAGGGATAGAAGAAATGACACGTAGCTTAAAAGCCACATGGTGACAAGGTAGGGAAAAGGCTTCCCCAGCCATCGTCTGACAGCATTTCTTCATTCAAACTGCCGAGAAAAAAAGTGATTTGTCTGGTTAGTGCCTACGGTATACACAGTTCTGGCTCAGCAGCCAATTCAACCATTTTCTTCCTGGTATGTGGACCAGAAAACAATCCCAGAATGCCTGTGCATGCTCCGAAATGGATAGCAGGCCTCTCCATTCCGTGTCAGCACCGATTTCCAAGAGAAGTCTCACTGAATAGCTACATGGTCCCTTACAGGCAGATCTCATTTCACAAGCTCCCAGGACTGGGCCTTCGTGGGCCAGCCTCTGGTTAGAATTGTAGTTACTTCTCCGTGTATGTGTTGTTTCTCCCCAGTAGGAGATAAGCTAGTTAAAGAAAAAGGTTATTTTTATCTTGATTTCCTCTGTGCTTAGTCCATAGTAGTTGCTTAATAAATACCTGCTGAAGGAAGGAAGGAAACAATATGCAGTTAAACAAGTCAGAGTGAATAGTTTCTGCAGCCAGAAAATACAATATTTTTTAACTCCTATGTCAAATAATGTATCTCAACGTTCATCCGTTACATAAACAATTCTGGTCTTAATTTCTGAGGGAAAACCAACTCAAAATGTCCAACTTTGCCTTCACATTGAAGTTGATCTAGTAAATCTTCCATGCATCTTTTTTTGATAACTACCATAAAATATTTATCCAGATCTATTTCAGAAGATTCATTCCTAATACCATGTTTTCTGGGCAAGTTCGTATGTTTGCTTCCAATTATTACCAGAAAACTATAGACAAAGTCAGGTCAGCGTGGCTCTTGGAGCATATGTAGTTCCTGATGATTGGTCTGATGTATTTCTTCAAGATTTTATTAATTCTGTCTACATTGTCACAAAGCCATTCTCATTTCTGCTCTCTGACAGAGATGGGCTCTCTCATATACTTTTCACATTTTCTCAAACCCCCGCTTGTGCAACACCCCATTTTTCTCAGGAGCTGATTCCCAAAATTTTCCTCTTTGTTGTCTTGTTTGCATGCCTCTTCTTTGTGACTTGGAGTACCACTTTTTGTCATCACATCTTCAGTGGTACCATTATTTGGGTCATGAATGTTAGTTGGCTTTGTGTGTGTGTGTGTGTGTGTGTGTGTGTTTTTAAAGATTTTCACAGTTTCTTCTGCAGTCTTTCTCTTGACATTCTATACTTGTCATCAACTGTTTCTGCAGTTAATTCTTTCTCCAGAATTACCTTATGTTTCTACTGGCAGTTTCCCAATTTTTCAAAGACATACTGAAAAAGACTGCTGTTCAATTCAGCTGTGCTGCTCAGTAAACATACAGAATCTGAGGAATTCTCATAAAATACAAGATCATTGAAAACTACAATTCTTTCCAAAATTATTAGCCAAAGAGCCTACCAGTTTAACAAAGAGAATCTTCTTAGGGACAGCTGGAGTGTTTGATGGTGATTTTCTGAAGACCGTTCAGTGCCTCAGCATCAGTGGCATATTGATTTTTTTCTTTGTTTCCAGAACTTTCAGGTAAGCAGTGGTCTTGCAAAAGACAACAACAAAACAAGACTTGATAGTGCCAAGTCTCATCTGGCAGCTCATCACGCTTGCAACCACATTCAGTTGACATTTTCATCTCATTGGCCCGAACTGGTCAGGACACCAATGACACTTGTGGCTTTCCCCTGAAGGATAAAGCCTAACTGCCAATATGCAGTCTTGATGGACAAAAAAAAAATCTTCTGGAGCTTTTAGAAGAAAATCATATGAAGTTAGGCCTGCCAGGTGTACCATTAGATCAATATGATAAGCGTTTTTAAATTTCTGTCCTCAGTGCCTCACTTCAACAGGTTTTTGCAAGAGTTATAATAGCCTGTTAAGTAGTTCAAGCCTCAGACAAATCTCTTGCAGTGGCATAACTTGAGTTAGATATACCCTTTGACATCTTTTTATCATGTTTATCTTTTTACAAAACGTTTATTTATGTTTTGACATCTTAATTCACAAACAAGCTATCGATTTGAAATTTCTTAATTTCTGGGATGTCCCTGGGGGGACTACCCATAGAGGAAAATATCGTCTCGTGTTTCTGAACACAACAACTTTCTGTATACCTATGGTCAAATTTCCTCCAATGCTGCATTTATCCCTGAATTAGAAAAGTTCTTCTGATAACATTTTGTTCCACAGGTAACACTGCCTCTGTAAGGAAGAATCAGCAGCCTGCTAAAAAGATGATCTTCTAGAGACTTGTGCTTGACACTCTTCTTCATCCCCAACTGCTTCTGCTAGTCATTCTCTGGAAATGCTTTCTCTTTCCACTGGTGGCCTCTCAGACTTTCAGACACATGCTCAGCAGTCAACTTTGCTGACCTAACCCATGTTGTTTAGTATGTGTACAGAATGGAAGAAGTTGTCAAAAATGACAAGATTCAAATCATGCTTCCAGATCTCCTAGGTGAAGAGCCTATGGCTTGACCTTTGTAGCTATAATACTACATTAGGTTTTTTGCTGAATACTTAGTGCTCTCTTAGCTGTGTGTTTCTTTTTTTGTTGTTATTCCATAATGTTTAGCTAAGCGGTGACCAGGCAAAAACAACTGGCAGATGCATGAATTGTTTGTTATATCATACTTGTATTCAATCGATATTTCATTAAGGGAGGCAGAATTATTAAAGGTACCAATAGAAGAATCACTTGCATTTCCGTTGAGGACAAAATTAGTCTTTGGTTGGAAACTGCAAACAGTAGAATTAGTTTGCCCAGATTTATTACTGAGGGCTACAAGATGTTTTGAGAATTTTAGGGACAGAGGATACTGATATGAAAGTGAGCTGGTTGGAAACACCACTACATCAGCATGATAAGTATGTCTAAATTTCTTTTTTTGACGATTCTGACATGAACAGGTTTTTGTAAGAGTTTAACAGCCTGTTCACTAGCTCGATTCCTAGATCTGTATTTACTGCCAGCATAAGCTGTTGTCAGATAGACACTATGGCACCTAACTTCACAAGCATAGCTGTCAGTCGGGATTTCCTTCCTTTTGAAGGCACCAGTAGTGGGGATTTCTTCTAAAGAAGCATATTGAAACTCGGGATTTGTGTGACATGCCTGAAAGCAACAAGTTAAGATGTGTGTATAGTTAATTACCCCAGAGCCAGCTGGTATCTTGGGATTATTAAAGTACTCCTGGACCGCTTGAGAAATTCTTTGAATAACATTTTGTTTTGCAGTTAGTAGTAACTCCTCAAATGTTGGTGCTGAGAAAGTTTCAGAAAGTAACTGAGAGGACAAATTTTTTGTGGCAGGCCCTACCCTGTTTGATGATGCTGAGAAATACACAGCACTCGAATAAGAAGCAGGAAGCTGCCATACCTCATACCTGGCAGGATTCACACTGCCTAATAACCTTCCCATTCTCTGGGGCATGCTCTTTGTCAAAGCAAATATACTGTAAGAACTATGAAAGGATGTGGTGGGCGTGGCATGAGCCATACTACTGAGTAATGTCTGGCTTGTTGCAAACATGCCCTCTGTGAAATCATATCTTCGATAAGTAGGCAGAGAGGATATAGGATGTGTGGCATGAACCCTACTATTTAATACTTTCATTACTGAAGACCTGTTCATCGGGGAAGCAAAACTTGTGTCGGAGTATGGAGAGAATGTGCTACGCATGGCACGGCCCATTGAAAGTGAGAACATTTTGGTTATGGTAAGCTTACTCTGGGTGGGGATAATCTTGTGGCAGAACACTGGGAAGATGTTCCAGCTGTGACAGGATCCATACTGCCTGAGAACATTCTGGAGAAGGTGGGCATGCTTTCTATGGAAGCCAGTCTCTTGTCATAACAGGAAGAAATGAAGGAACTTGTGGCAGGATCCACGCTCATGGAGGTCATTCCAGTTACTGAAGGTTTGGGTTTTCTGAAAGCGAATCTTCAGTTAGAATACTGAGATGATGTGGTAGGTATTTTGGTTATTGCAGACCTGCTTGTTGTGGAAGGAAAACACACATGAGAATATGGAGAGAATGTGCTACGCATGGCATGGCCCATTGAAGGTGAGACTGTTTTGGTTATGGCACGCTTACTCTGTGTGGAAATAAATCTTATGTCAGAACACTGAGGGGACATGAAACCCGTGACAGGAGACGCGCTCTCTGAGAACACTCAGGTTACTGCAGGCTTGCTCCCTGTGGAAGCAGCGCTTGTCTCAGAACACGGAGGGCACACGAAACCTGTGGAAGGAGACATGCTCTCTGAGAACATTTCAGTTACTACAGGCTTGCTCCCTGTGGAAGCAGCTCTTGTCCCAGAATACTAAGAAGATACCGTACCTGTGGTAGGAGAGACACTTTCCAAGAATATTCCCATTCCTGCAGGATCGATTTCTGTCATAGCAGCTCTCGTCTCCAAATGTGGAGAGGATGCAATACCTATGGCAGGAGACATGCTGTCTGAGAACATTCTGGATACTGCAGGCTTACTCTCCGTGGAAGCAAACATGACCACAAAACATAGAGAAGACACAATACCTGCTATAGGAGAGAGTGCCTCTGAGAATACTCCCATTCCTGCGGTATCACACCCTGTCAAAGCAGTTTCTGTCTCTGAACATGGAGGGAATGCGAAACCTGTGGAAGGAGACAAACTCTCTGAGAATGTTCTGGATACTACAGGCTTGTTCTCTGTAGAAGCAAAGATTATCAGAAAACACGGAGAAGACACAATACCTGCTATAGGAGATAGTGTCTCTGAGAACACTCCCATTCCTACAGGATTGCCCTCTGTCAAAGCAGCTTCTGTCTCTGCACATGAAGGAAATGTGATATCTATGGAAGGAGACACACTCTCTGAGAACATTCTGAATACTATGGGCTTGCTCTCTGTGGAAGCAAACATGATCACAAAACATAGATACCTGCTGTAGGAGAGAGTCTCTCAGAGAATACTCCCATTCCTGCAGTATCACTTTCTCTCAAAGCAGCTTCTGTCTCTGAGCATGGAGGGAAAGCAATACCTGTGGAAGGAGACACACTCTCTGAGAACATTCTGGATACTGTTCGCTTGCTCTCTGTGGAGGCAAACGTGATCACAAAACACAGATACCTGCTATAGAAGATAGTGTCTCAGAGAACACTCCCATTCCTGCAGGATTGCCCTCTGTCAAAGCAGCTTCTGTCTCAGAGCATGGACGGAATGCAATACCTGTGGAAAGAGACACACTCTCTGAGAACATTCTGGATACTGTTCGCTTGCTCTCTGTGGAGGCAAACGTGATCACAAAACACAGATACCTGCTATAGAAGATAGTGTCTCAGAGAATACTCCCATTCCTGCAGTATCGCCCTCTGTCAAAGCAGCTTCTGTCTCAGAGCATGGATGGAATGCAATACCTGTGGAAAGAGACACACTCTCTGAGAACATTCTGGATACTGTTCGCTTCCCCTCTGTGGAAGCAAACATGATCAGAAAACATAGATACCTGCTGTAGGAGAGAGTCTCTCAGAGAATACTCCCATTCCTGCAGTACTACTTTCTGTCAAAGCAGCTTCTGTCTCAGAGCATGGGTGGAATGCAATACCTGTGGAAAGAGACACACTCTCTGAGAACATTCTGGATACTGTTCATTTGCTCTCTGTGGAAGCAAACATGATCACAAAACATAGATACCTGCTGTAGGAGAGAGTCTCTCAGAGAATACTCCCATTCCTGCAGTACTGCTTTCTGTCAAAGCAGCTTCTGTCTCAGAGCATGGGTGGAATGCAATACCTGTGGAAAGAGACACACTCTCTGAGAACATTCTGGATACTGTTCGCTTGCTCTCTGTGGAAGCATGATCACAGATACCTGCTGTAGGAGAGAGTCTCTCCAAGAGTACTCCCATTCCTGCAGTATCGCCCTCTGTCAAAGCAGCTTCTGTCTCAGAGCATGGGTGGAATGCAATACCTGTGGAAAGAGACACGCTCTGAGAACATTCTGGATACTGTGGGCTTGCTCTCTGTGGAAGCAAACATGATCACAAAACATAGATACCTGCGGTAGGAGAGAGTTTCTCAGAGAATACTCCCATTCCTGCAATATTACTTTCTGTCAAAGCAGCTTCTGTCTCAGAACATGGGTGGAATGCAATACCTGTGGAAAGAGACACACTCCCTGAGAACATTCTGGATACTGTTCGTTTGCTCTCTGTGGAAGCAAACATAATCACAAAACATAGATACCTGCTGTAGGAGAGAGTCTCTCCGAGAATACTCCCATTCCTGCAGTATCGCCCTCTGTCAAAGCAGCTTCTGTCTCAGAACATGGGTGGAATGCAATACCTGTGGAAAGAGACACACTCCCTGAGAACATTCTGGATACTGTTCGTTGCTCTCTGTGGAAGCAAACATAATCACAAAACATAGATACCTGCTGTAGGAGAGAGTCTCTCCGAGAATACTCCCATTCCTGCAGTATCGCCCTCTGTCAAAGCAGCTTCTGTCTCAGAGCATGGACGGAATGCAATACCTGTGGAAAGAGACACACTCTCTGAGAACATTCTGGATACTGTTCGCTTGCTCTCTGTGGAAGCAAACATGATCAGAAAACATAGATACCTGCTGTAGGAGAGAGTCTCTCCGAGAGTACTCCCATTCCTGTGGTACCGCCCTCTGTCAAAGCAGCTTCTGTCTCAGAGGATGGGTGGAATGCAATACCTGTGGAAAGAGACACACTCTCTGAGAACATTCTGGATACTGTTCGCTTGCTCTCTGTGGAATCAAACATGATCACAAAACATAGATACCTGCTGTAGGAGAGAGTTCTCAGAGAATACTCCCATTCCTGCAGTATTACTTTTGTCAAAGCAGCTTCTGTCTCAGAGCATGGACGGAATGCAATACCTGTGTAAAGAGACACACTCTCTGAGAACATTCTGGATACTGTTCGCTTGCTCTCTGTGGAAGCAAACGTGATCACAAAACATAGATACCTGCTGTAGGAGAGAGTCTCTCAGAGAATACTCCCATTCCTGCGGTACTGCCCTCTGTCAAAGCAGCTTCTGTCTCAGAGGATGGGTGGAATGCAATACCTGTGGAAAGAGACACACTCTCTGAGAACATTCTGGATACTGTTCACTTGCTCTCTGTGGAAGCAAACATGATCACAAAACATAGATACCTGCTGTAGGAGAGAGTCTCTCAGAGAATACTCCCATTCCTGCGGTACCAGCCTCTGTCAAAGCAGCTTCTGTCTCAGAGCATGGACGGAATGCAATACCTGTGGAAAGAGACACACTCTCTGAGAACATTCTGGATACTGTTCGCTTGCTCTCTGTGGAAGCAAACATGATCAGAAAACATAGATACCTGCTGTAGGAGAGAGTGTCTCCGAGAATACTCCCATTCCTGCAGTATTACTTTCTGTCAAAGCAGCTTCTGTCTGAGAGGATGGGTGGAATGCAATACCTGTGGAAAGAGACACACTCTCTGAGAACATTCTGGATACTGTTCGCTTGCTCTCTGTGGAAGCAAACATGATCAGAAAACATAGATACCTGCTGTAGGAGAGAGTCTCTCCGAGAGTACTCCCATTCCTGTGGTACCGCCCTCTGTCAAAGCAGCTTCTGTCTCAGAGGATGGGTGGAATGCAATACCTGTGGAAAGAGACACACTCTCTGAGAACATTCTGGATACTGTTCGCTTGCTCTCTGTGGAATCAAACATGATCACAAAACATAGATACCTGCTGTAGGAGAGAGTTTCTCAGAGAATACTCCCATTCCTGCAGTATTACTTTCTGTCAAAGCAGCTTCTGTCTCAGAGCATGGACGGAATGCAATACCTGTGTAAAGAGACACACTCTCTGAGAACATTCTGGATACTGTTCGCTTGCTCTCTGTGGAAGCAAACGTGATCACAAAACATAGATACCTGCTGTAGGAGAGAGTCTCTCAGAGAATACTCCCATTCCTGGGGTACTGCCCTCTGTCAAAGCAGCTTCTGTCTCAGAGGATGGGTGGAATGCAATACCTGTGGAAAGAGACACACTCTCTGAGAACATTCTGGATACTGTTCGCTTGCTCTCTGTGGAAGCAAACATGATCAGAAAACATAGATACCTGCTGTAGGAGAGAGTCTCTCCGAGAATACTCCCATTCCTGCAGTATTACTTTCTGTCAAAGCAGCTTCTGTCTGAGAGGATGGGTGGAATGCAATACCTGTGGAAAGAGACACACTCTCTGAGAACATTCTGGATACTGTTCGCTTGCTCTCTGTGGAAGCAAACGTGATCACAAAACATAGATACCTGCTGTAGGAGAGAGTCTCTCCAAGAGTACTCCCATTCCTGCGGTACCGCCCTCTGTCAAAGCAGCTTCTGCCTCAGAGCATGGAGGGAATGCAATACCTGTGGAAAGAGACACACTCTCTGAGAACATTCTGGATACTATGGGCTTGCTCTCTGTGGAAGCAAACGTGATCACAAAACATAGATACCTGCTGTAGGAGAGAGTTTCTCAGAGAATACTCCCATTCCTGTGGTACCGCCCTCTGTCAAAGCAGCTTCTGTCTCAGAGGATGGGTGGAATGCAATACCTGTGGAAAGAGACACACTCTCTGAGAACATTCTGGATACTGTTCACTTGCTCTCTGTGGAAGCAAACATGATCAAAAACATAAATACCTGCTGTAGGAGAGAGTCTCTCAGAGAATACTCCCATTCCTGCAGTACTGCTTTCTGTCAAAGCAGCTTCTGCCTCAGAGCATGGGTGGAATGCAATACCTGTGGAAAGAGACACACTCTCTGAGAACATTCTGGATACTATAGGCTTGCTCTCTGTGGAAGCAAACGTGATCACAAAACACAGATACCTGCTGTAGGAGAGAGTCTCTCTGAGAATACTCCCATTCCTGCAGTATCGCCCTCTGTCAAAGCAGCTTCTATCTCAGAGCATGGATGGAATGCAATACCTGTGTAAAGAGACACACTCTCTGAGAACATTCTGGATACTGTTCGCTTGCTCTCTGTGGAAGCAAACATGATCACAAAACATAGATACCTGCTGTAGGAGAGAGTCTCTCCAAGAGTACTCCCATTCCTGCAATATCGCCCTCTGTCAAAGCAGCTTCTGTCTCAGAGGATGGGTGGAATGCAATACCTGTGGAAAGAGACACACTCTCTGAGAACATTCTGGATACTGTTCACTTGCTCTCTGTGGAATCAAACATGATCACAAAACATAGATACCTGCTGTAGGAGAGAGTCTCTCAGAGAATACTCCCATTCCTGCAGTACTGCTTTCTATCAAAGCAGCTTCTGCCTCAGAGCATGGGTGGAATGCAATACCTGTGGAAAGAGACACACTCTCTGAGAACATTCTGGATACTATAGGCTTGCTCTCTGTGGAAGCAAACGTGATCACAAAACAGATACCTGCTGTAGGAGAGAGTCTTTCCGAGAATACTCCCATTCCTGCAGTATTGCTTTCTGTCAAAGCAGCTTCTGTCTGAGAGGAAGGGTGGAATGCAATACCTGTGGAAAGAGACACACTCTCTGAGAACATTCTGGATACTATAGGCTTGCTCTCTGTGGAAGCAAACGTGATCACAAAACATAGATACCTGCTGTAGGAGAGAGTCTCTCTGAGAGTACTCCCATTCCTGTGGTACCGCCCTCTGTCAAAGCAGCTTCTGTCTCAGAACATGGGTGGAATGCAATACCTGTGGAAAGACACACTCTCTGAGAACATTCTGGATACTATAGGCTTGCTCTCTGTGGAAGCAAACGTGATCACAAAACAGATACCTGCTGTAGGAGAGAGTCTCTCCGAGAGTACTCCCATTCCTGCAGTATCGCCCTCTGTCAAAGCAGCTTCTGTCTCAGAGCATGGACGGAATGCAATACCTGTGGAAAGAGACACACTCTCTGAGAACATTCTGGATACTGTGGGCTTGCTCTCTGTGGAAGCAAACGTGATCACAAAACATAGATACCTGCTGTAGGAGAGAGTCTCTCTGAGAGTACTCCCATTCCTGCAGTATCGCCCTCTGTCAAAGCAGCTTCTGTCTTAGAACATGGAGGGAATGCGATACCTGTGGAAGGAGACACACTCTCTGAGAACGTTCTGGATACTATAGGCTTGCTCTCTGTGGAAGCAAACGTGATCACAAAACACAGATACCTGCTGTAGGAGAGAGTCTCTCTGAGAGTACTCCCATTCCTGTGGTACCGCCCTCTGTCAAAGCAGCTTCTGTCTCAGAGCATGGATGGAATGCAATACCTGTGGAAAGAGACACACTCTCTGAGAACATTCTGGATACTATAGGCTTGCTCTCTGTGGAAGCAAACGTGATCACAAAACACAGATACCTGCTGTAGGAGAGAGTCTCTCCAAGAGTACTCCCATTCCTGCAGTATCGCCCTCTGTCAAAGCAGCTTCTGTCTCAGAGCATGGACGGAATGCAATACCTGTGGAAAGAGACACACTCTCTGAGAACATTCTGGATACTGTGGGCTTGCTCTCTGTGGAAGCAAACATGATCACAAAACATAGATACCTGCTGTAGGAGAGAGTCTCTCTGAGAGTACTCCCATTCCTGCAGTATCGCCCTCTGTCAAAGCAGCTTCTGTCTTAGAGCATGGACGGAATGCAATACCTGTGGAAAGAGACACTCTCTGAGAACATTCTGGATACTGTTCGCTTGCTCTCTGTGGAAGCAAACATGATCACAAAACATAGATACCTGCTGTAGGAGAGAGTCTCTCCGAGAGTACTCCCATTCCTGCAGTATTACTTTCTGTCAAAGCAGCTTCTGTCTGAGAGGATGGGTGGAATGCAATACCTGTGGAAAGAGACACACTCTCTGAGAACATTCTGGATACTGTTCGCTTGCTCTCTGTGGAAGCAAACATGATCAGAAAACATAGATACCTGCTGTAGGAGAGAGTCTCTCTGAGAGTACTCCCATTCCTGCAGTATCGCCCTCTGTCAAAGCAGCTTCTGTCTTAGAACATGGAGGGAATGCGATACCTGTGGAAGGAGACACACTCTCTGAGAACATTCTGGATACTACAGGCTTGTTCTTTCTAGAATCAAACATTATCACAAAACATGGAGAAGACACAATACCTGCTGTAGGAGAGAGTCTCTCCAAGAGTACTCCCATTCCTGCAGGATCGCCCTCTGTTGAAGCTGCTTCTGGCTCAGAACATGGAGGGAATGTGATACCTGTGGAAGGAGACACACTCTCTGAGAACATTCTGCATACTATGGGCTTGCCCTCCGTGGAAGCAAAGATGATCACAAAACACAGAGAAGAAACAATACCTGCTGTAGGAGATAGTTTCTCAGAGAATACTCCCATTCCTGCAGGATTGCCCTCTGTTGAAGCTGCTTCTGGCTCAGAACACGGAGGGAATGTGATACCTGTGGAAGGAGACACACTCTCTGAGAACATTCTGGATACTATGGGCTTGCCCTCTGTGGAAGCAAACATGATCACAAAACACAGAGAAGAAACAATACCTGCTGTAGGAGATAGTCTCTCAGAGAATACTCCCATTCCTGCAGGATTGCCCTCTGTTGAAGCTGCTTCTGTCTCAGAACATGAAGGGAATGCGATACCTGTGGAAGGAGACACACTCTCTGAGAACATTCTGGATACTATGAGCTTGCCCTCTGTGGAAGCAAACATGATCACAAAACACAGAGAAGAAACAATACCTGCTGTAGGAGATAGTGTCCCTGAGAACACTCCCATTCCTGCAGGATTGCCCTCTGTTGAAGCTGCTTCTGTCTCAGAACATGGAGGGAATGTGATACCTGTGGAAGGAGACACACTCTCTGAGAACATTCTGGATACTATGGCTTGCCCTCCGTGGAAGCAAACATGATCACAAACACAGAGAAGAAACATACCTGCTGTAGGAGATAGTTTCTCAGAGAATACTCCCATTCCTGCAGGATTGCCCTCTGTTGAAGCTGCTTCTGGCTCAGAACATGGAGGGAATGTGATACCTGTGGACGGAGACACACTCTCTGAGAACATTCTGGATACTATGAGCTTGCCCTTTGGAAGCAAACATGATCACAAAACACAGAGAAGAAACAATACCTGCTGTAGGAGATAGTGTCCCTGAGAACACTCCCATTCCTGCAGGATTGCCCTCTGTTGAAGCTGCTTCTGGCTCAGAACATGGAGGGAATGTGATACCTGTGGACGGAGACACACTCTCTGAGAACATTCTGGATACTATGAGCTTGCCCTCTGTGGAAGCAAACATGATCACAAAACACAGAGAAGAAACAATACCTGCTGTAGGAGATAGTCTCTCAGAGAATACTCCCATTCCTGCAGGATTGCCCTCTGTTGAAGCTGCTTCTGTCTCAGAACATGAAGGGAATGCGATACCTGTGGAAGGAGACACACTCTCTGAGAACATTCTGGATACTATGAGCTTGCCCTCTGTGGAAGCAAACATGATCACAAAACACAGAGAAGAAACAATACCTGCTGTAGGAGATAGTCTCTCAGAGAATACTCCTATTCCTGCAGGATTGCCCTCTGTTGAAGCTGCTTCTGGCTCTGAACACAGAGGGAATGTGATACCTGTGGAAGGAGACACACTCTCTGAGAACATTCTGCATACTATGGGCTTGCCCTCCGTGGAAGCAAAGATGATCACAAAACACAGAGAAGAAACAATACCTGCTGTAGGAGATAGTTTCTCAGAGAATACTCCCATTCCTGCAGGATTGCCCTCTGTTGAAGCTGCTTCTGGCTCAGAACATGGAGGGAATGTGATACCTGTGGAAGGAGACACACTCTCTGAGAACATTCTGCATACTATGGGCTTGCCCTCTGTGGAAGCAAACATGATCACAAAACACAGAGAAGAAACAATACCTGCTGTAGGAGATAGTGTCCCTGAGAACACTCCCATTCCTGCAGGATTGCCCTCTGTTGAAGCTGCTTCTGGCTCAGAACATGGAGGGAATGTGATACCTGTGGAAGGAGACACACTCTCTGAGAACATTCTGGATGCTATGGGCTTGCCCTCTGTGGAAGCAAACATGATCACAAAACACAGGGAAGACACAATACCTGCTGTAGGAGATAGTCTCTCAGAGAATACTCCCATTCCTGCAGGATTGCCCTCTATTGAAGCTGCTTCTGTCTCTGAACATGGAGGAAATGAGATAACTGTGGTAGAAGACACACTCTGAGAACATTCTGCGTACTATATAGGCTTACTCTCTGTAGAAGCAAGTATTATTTCAAAACATAGAGAAGACACAATACCTTTTGTGGGAGACAGTCTTTCAGATCTCACTCCAGGTACTGCAGGATCACTTTCTGTTGAAGCTCTTGTCCCTGAACATGGAGGGAATGAGATACCTGATGCAGGAGATACATTCTCTGAGAATATTCTGCATACTATACATGCTTACTCTCTGTAGAAGCAAGTATTGTTTCAAGATGTAGAGAAGATACAATATGTAGAGAAGACGCAATACCTGTTGTGGGAGACACTCTTTCCGAGAACTCGCCAGATACTGCAGGATCACTTTCTGTTGAAGCAGAACATGGAGGGTACACGAAACCTGTGGCAGGAGATATACTTTCTGAGAACATTCTGAATACTACAGGCTTGCTCCCTGTGGAAGCAAGTATTGTCTCAAAACATAGAAAGGACACAATACCTGTTGTAGGAGATAATCTTTCAGAGAACGCTCCAGATACTTCAGGATCGTTCTCTCTGGAAGCAGCTCTTGTCTCAGAAGATGGAAGGCACACAAAGCCTGTCGCAGGAGACAGTCTTTCTGGGGACAGTTCAGATGCTTCAGGATTGTTCTCTTTGGAAGCAAACCTTATGCCAGAACACTGAGAAGCCAGGTTAAGCGTGGCAGGATCCACAAGCTCTGATAATAGTCTGGTTACAGCAGGCAGCCTCTCAGTGGAGGCAAATCTTGTCTCAGAACTCTGAGAAGAGAAGAGACTTGTGGATGCAGACAGTCCTCCAGTCTCTGCAGCCTTGGTTTCTGTAGAATCACATGTGTTCTCAAAATACTGAGATGGCAAGAGGCTTGTGGCTGGAGATATGCTGTCTGGGAACAGTCTGGCTACTAGAGGTTTGCTTTCGGGGGAGGTAGATCTGGTGTCAGAACATTGAGAGGTAAAGAAACTTGTAGATGGAAACATGCTTTCTGGTAATAGTCCAGTTACTGAAGACTTGCTGTCTATTGAAGCAAGTTTTGTTTCAGAACACAAAGAATGGACAACACTTGTGGATGGAGATGGTCCCTCTGAAAACAGTCCAGGAACTACAGGCTTCCTTTCTGGGGAAGCACATTCAGTGTCAGAATATTCAGTGGATGAAATGCTGATGGGTGGTGAGAGTCTGTCTGTGGATATTCCTGTTATTACTGGCTTCCTTTCTGGGGAAGCATTTCCAGTCTCGGAATATTCAGTGGATGATATGCTGATGGGTGGAGATAGTCTCTCTGAGAACAAGCCAGTTATTACTGGCTTGTTCTCCGGGGAAACGCATCGAGTGTCCGAACTTTCAGAGGAAAAGATATTTGTAGGTGGTGATAGTGTCTCTGAGAACATGCCAGTTACTACTGGCTTGTTCTCCGGTGAAATGCATCGAGTGTCCGAACTTTCAGAGGAAAAAATATTTGTAGGTGGTGATAGTGTCTCTGAGAACATGCCAGTGACTACTGGCTTGTTCTCTGGTGAAACGCATCTAGCCGCTGAACCCTCAGAGGCCAAGATGCTTGGGGCGGAAAACAGTGTCTCTGAGAACATGCCACTTACTGTGGCCTTGTTCTCCGGCGAAGTGCATCTAGACTCTGAACCCTCAGAGGCCAAGATGCCTGTGGCTGAAAACAGAGTCTCAGAAAACATTCCTCCTTCTACGGGTTTGCTTTCGGGGGATACACATCTAGTATCTAAACATTCAGTAGACAACACATCGGGGGTTGGAGACCCTGTTTCTGAGAACATGCCACTTCCTGTGGCCTTGTTCTCTGGGGAAGCGCACCGAGACTCTGAATCCTCAGAAGCCAAGATGTTCGTGGCTGAAAACAGAGTCTCGGAGAACACTCCTCCTACTCCAGGTTTACTTCCCGGGGAATCACATCTGACATCCGAACACTGGGAAGACAACACATGGGGGGCTGCACGCACTCTTTCTAACAATTCACTTATTATAGGCTTCCTTTCGGGGGAAGCGGGACCTCCCATATCAGAATACTCAGTTGATGAAATGCTAATGGGTGAAGATGACCTCCTTGGGAAGAGTCCACTTACTATAGGCTTCCTTTCTGGGGAAGCGCATTCAGGATCAGAATATTCGGTAGATGAGATGCTGATGGGTGATGATAATCTCCCTGAGAATAGCCCACTTATTATAGGCTTCCTTTCTGGAGAAGCATAGCTAATCTCTGAATTCTCTGAAGAAAAGCTACTCATGTCTGGAGACAGCCTTTCAGAAAACATTTCTGTTACTATAGGTTTGGTTTCTGGAAAAAAACTACTATTCTCAGAACATTCAGAGGACAAGACAATTGTGGTTGGTGACAGTCTCCCTGAGAACATTCCAGTTACTACAGGCTTCCTCTCTGGGGAAGCGCTGCTAGTCTCTGAACACTCAGAGGACAAGACAATGATGGTTGGTGAGTGTCTCCCTGAGAATATTCCACTTACTATGGGCTTCCTTTCTGGTGAAGCATAGCCAGTCTCCGAACCTTCAGAGGATGACATACTTGTGTCCGGAGACAGTCTGTCACAGAACATGTCAGTGACTATGGGCTTTCTGTCTGTGCAAAAATAGCCAGCTTCCCAAGACTCGGAGGAGGAGATACTTATAGCTGGAGATAGTATCTCTGAGAACATGCCTGTTACTCCAGGCTTGCTCTCCGGGGAAGCACAGCTGCCCTCGGAATACTCAGTAGACGAGATGCTTATTGGTGGAGATAGTCTCCCCGAGAAGAGTGCACTTACTATAGGCTTCCTCTCTGGGGAGGCATATCCGGTATCAGAGTACTCAGTGGATGAGATGCTTATGGGTGGAGAGAGTCTGTCCGGGATGATTCTGGTGACGACTGGTTTGATGTCTGGAGGAACACATGTGGTCTCTGAACATTCAACAGACGAGACATCTGGGGCTAGAGCCGCCGTCTCTGAGACCGTTCCAGTTACTAGTGGCTTGGTCTCAGGGGAGAGGCATCTAGCCTCAGAACATTCAGCTGACGAGACATCGGGAGGTAGAGCCACTGTCTCTGAGAGCGTTTCACCTACTTTAGGCTTGCTCTCAGAGGGAATGCATTTAGCCTTAGAACATTCAGCAGTCACAACATCTGGGACTGCAGCCACTGTCTCTGAGAGCGTTTCACCTACTATAGGCTTGCTCTCAGGCGAGGCACATGTAGTCTCCGAATCCTCAGAGGCCAAGATGCTCGAGGTTGGAGATACTGCCTCTGAGAGTGTGCCACTTGCTAAGGGCTTGCTCTCAGGGGAGACACATGTAGTCTCCGAATCCTCTGAGGCCAAAATACTTGAAGTTGGAGATGCTGCCTCTGAGAGCATGCCACTTACTCCAGGCTTGCTCTCAGGGGAGGGACATCTAGTCTCCGAACCCTCAGTAGATGAGACATTTGGGTCGGGAGACACTGTCTCTGATAACATTCCTGTCACCACAGATTTGTTTTCTGAGGAAATACATTTAGTTTCACAACACTCGACAGACGAGACATTGGAGGTGTCTGAAGACACTGTCTCTGACAATATTCTGGTTACTAGAGGCTCCCTCTCTGGGGAAACACTTCTAGTTTCCAAACACTCATCAGATGGTACATTTGGGGCTGCAGGCACTTTCTCTGACAACACATCAGTTACTGCAGCCTTTATCTCAGTTTCAGAACACTGGGAAGACAAAACACTTGAGGTAGAAGATAGCTTTTCTGACAGCATTTTGGTTGATACAGCCTTGTCCTCTGGGGAAACATTTCTAGTTTCCGAAGGCTCAGAGGACAAGATATTTGCATCAGGAGACCCAGGGTGGAAGACTACACTCTTTACGGTAGCCTTTCCCTCTGTAGAAGCCAATTCTGAGTCAGGACACTTAGAATCCGAGCTACCTGTGACAGGAGCCATGCTCTCTGACAGCATTCCCTTTCCCGCAAGCTCACGCTCTGTGGAAACAGCCCTTGTATCAGTTTCCACATTCTCTCCTAAGACTTCAGTTGCCACAGGCTTGTTCTCTACGGAAGCAAACCTTTTGTCAGAACACTGAGGCGACAAGCGATCTGTGTCAGCATCCACACTGCCTGAAAATACAGCAGTTACTTTACGCATGCTCTCTGTACAAGCTAATTTTGTTTCAGAAGACTGAGTAGATACGATACTTGTAGCACTGTCCCCAGTATCTGATAACATTTCAGTTGCCGCAACCTTGGTCTCTGCTAAAGCTAATCCTGTTTGCGAAAACTCAGACCCCTCATCTTGGTCACCCAAACTGATGTGCACGTATTTATTTTTGCTTTCTACCGGCCATCTGATAGAGTGAGCTTGTGAGGCTCCCCGCTCTAATCCAATGCCTGCAACATCTTTCTTTTTCTCCTCTTTCTTACTCTCATCTACACCTTGCACAGTCTCAGGCTGCTTTTCCACCAACCTAGGGACAACTTTCCTTTTGGGAGCGCTCAGGCCAGCCTGTGGTGAGAGGGGACGCTTCTGAGCTCTGGGGGGCTCCGGCTGGAGCCTTTGGTGGGAAGGCATCTCGTCTATATGCATGCCTTCTACCATCTGGAGGAGTTTCTCCATCGTTCGCGGTCTGTACTTACAGCCAAAGAAGACCAGGATAGAACAGCTGACGGAACGCCCGGGGCTGGTGTAGATTTACAGGTGCCGGCAGATGAATTCCAGTACGGGATCCAGAATCTAGCGTCCAGCCAAAGATGAGTCTAGCTGCTGATGAATTCAGTCGCGGAACCCAGCATCCAGCGGCAGATGAATTCCAGCAAGAGATCCAACATCCAGCGCAGCCACTGGTGGTTGGAAGGCGGCTCCGCCCAGCTCAGCAAAGACGCAGCTGCTCGAGAGGTGGGGGGAGTAGGGGCGCAACCAAATGGCCGACCGCCCCCCACTGCAGACCTCTCTCTAGCCTTCAGATTCTAGCCACCTTACTGAAATGAGGATGGCGCACAGCCAGCCCAGCCCCCTCTCTGGCGGACACCTGACACTGACGCTGGTCTCAAGCCTCAAAATCTTGTTCCTTGGGACCTCTGGTGAGAGCCCAGGCAATGCTTCCAAATCCCTTTCATCGTTTTAGTGCATACAGTGTCCTTTGAAATGGCACCTTCCTGCCTTTTCGGGATACGCTCCAAGCACTTTGTGACGGAAAGGCAGAAGGGGAGCTGAAGAGCTGGGCGGTGCATGCAATGATATTTTGGGTTCGCAGTCAGAAGACCTGGGTTCAAATTCTGTTTGTTAATTACTAGGAATGGACAGTCCATTTCTTCTCTCTGGGTTGCAGCTTCCTCAGAGAGGGGTTTGGAACAGATGACCTCTAAAGTCCATTCCAGTTCAAAATCTACGTTCCTACGGGCAGAATTTAAGGGAGTCAGATGCCCAGTTTTCGAAGTCCACTAATTGTTAAGTCACAACTCTTGAATCAAGGAAAACCGTCTCACAACGGGGCCCCTTCCTACATTTCCAGACTTCTTAAATATTACTCCTTTCCACATGTACTCAACAATCAGAGACACTGGCCTTCTTCCTATTTCTTGCTTAGTTTACTTCACCTCCCAAATTTAAGCTTTTTTTTTATTGGCTATCCCCCATCTGTGGAATATTCTTCCTCACCTTTGCCTCCTGGCTTCCTGCAAGACTCAGTTCAATATACCCACCTCCTCCCCCACCTCCAGTACCTTCTCTCTGAAATTCCATCCCAATTATCTTGCATGTGCATAGTTGTTTATCACATTACCCCATGTTGTGTCCTCCATTAGACTGTGAATTCCTCGAGGGCAGAAGCTTTTTACCTTTGCATCACCAAAGCTAAGAACAGTGCCTGGCAAATAGTAGGTGCTCAATAAATTGCTCACTGTTTTGACAAAAGGTGTCTATGTTAACCATAACTTATATGGTTGGAGTGTTAGAAGTGAAATAGGAAAGGGGAGAAAAGAGAAATATTATATAGCTAGAAGTTATTAAAACCTTTTATTTCAGAAAGGATGTTTTAGTTCCACTGTCTCATACCTTACCTGCTGCAGACATACCAGAGAGGGACCTAGGTGGCATTGTAGTCAGAGGGCCAGGCCTGGAGTCAGGAAGACTTGGGTTTAAATATGACCTTAGATACCAACTGTGTGACCCTAAGCAAGTCACTTAATCTCAGTTTCCTCAACTGTAAAATGGGGATAATGATAGGACCTACTTCCCAGGGTTATTATGAAGATCAAATAAGATAATATTTGTAATGTACTCCCCACATGACAGAGTAAGTGCTTAATAAGTGATATAAACAATAATTGCAAAAGCGTTTAACATGGTGCCTGGAAGGTGGTAAGGGCCATATAACATTAGCTATTATTATTATTACTATTATTATTCCTTCAATTATATTCAGTAACATTCAAGCTCTGCTAAAGTCCCACCTTGGGCAAGTAGGCTTTCCCAGTCCTACTTAATCCTAGTGCCTTTTCTCTAAGATACTCTGTGTGTGTGTGTGTGTGTGTGCACGTACCTATACACATGTATATATGCACACATTTTCTTGTGTAGTGTTCGTAAACAGTTTGTAAGTGGTTGTTTGCATATTGTTTCCTCCATTCCTCCATCCTCAAGATCAAGGACTTTTTTTTTTCGTGGTGGTGGGGGCCTTTCTTTGTATCCCAGTGCTTAGCATATCGTTTGGCACATAGTAGGTGCTTGTTGAATTGACTTGAATAAGGATTATAGACAGTATCCAGGAATCCAGGGTATGTGATGGACTGGACATTAAAAAGGGAGATGTCTTATATTATTTGTCATCCAAATATGATAAATTTCCAGGAGCTGGAGAATCATTCATGGTCCAGGCTGAAGATATTCTGTCCCACTTAAGGGCCATCAAACAGTGCAGTTTACTTACTGCTACTACTACAAAATGCTACAAGGTGCTAATCAATTCAAAAGACAACAAGGGAGTAATCCTAATCCCTCCCATCAAGGCTCCCCTCTTTTTTCCATTCAGCCCTTACTCTAACTCTCTTTTCAGAGAAGACCTTGTTCAAAGTATGTAGTCTAATACTGAGGTGCATGAATGTGCTCTTGGGTAAATACCAGGTACATATGTCAATTACAACTTCAGCTCAGTTATCAGGAAGTCTTATATTTCTTCAAAAGGGAAAAATTCCAAAGTTCCCTCACTGCCGGGCTGATGAATCCTGGAGAGAAGAATTAAAATGGGGGTGGGGGTGGGACAGGAAGAGGGAGTAGTAGACAGAAAAGGATCCAATGAAGATTTCACAAAGCTCACCAGTTGGAATTTCAGAAAGCTGCCTCCTTACTCTGATTTGGACTTGTGAAGAGATGGTGTCAGCAGCCAGTTTAGGTCTAGATGGCACCAAAGAGACAGGTGGAGCCCTACCAGTCCCAGATCAGTGTGCCCAAAGGAACTATGTTGAATTGAGGAAAGAGGTAGATGGGTTCAGTTTGGATAACAAGTGAGCCCTCACCCTGACCCCCAAGATTTACAGAAAAGTGCTGTGGAGAGAGCTGCACTCCTTATGTAATACAGACATACGCACAAAACTCTGATTAGAAGTGCCCCACCCCCCAACTCAAGAAGGAAGAAGGGGCCAGCAGTGCTTTCCAGTTTTCAAAACCTCCCCTTCTTGCTCTCCTGCCCCTCTCCCCTTTCCCTTTCTTCCTCAGGGAGGGCCAACTGCTGTGGTGACTTAATGAATGTAAAGCTAGTGGAAGAAAATGAAAGAAGAAGGGGGAGGAGAGGAGAATAAGAGAGAGAAGGTGGGGAGGGGGGGATGGCAGCTTCCCAGGTATTAGCTTTGTAAGTGTGAATGCACCTTTGGGTTTCCTCATTCTTGCCACAAGATAAAGAGGCTGACTAGTACAGAAACAAGGAAATGTCACAGTTGGAGAGGATTTCAGAGGCTATCTAGTTCAACACATGTCTGAGCAAAAATCCTCTCTATAACATTATCAGACCAATAGTCATCCTTTGCCTGAAAACTTGGAGGACCATCCCCCTCCTTGGACAGCTCATTCCACTTTGGGCAGCTCTCATTGTTAGGAGTTTTTCCTGAGATACAGCCTAAATCAGCCTCTTGGCCACTTTTACCCTGTCCTTGCTCCTTGCCCTAGAATCTGTAGTTTTGATCTTGTTCTAGATACTAATATTTCTTTGAAAACAGCTTAAGAAGGAATTAATTTTTTTTTTGACACAATGTTGATTTATTTTTAGCTTTAGTCAAATTTCTTAGGTCTTTTTTTCACATTAACTGTTTTGTTAAGTCAGGTCTCTTCCATCTCCCACTTGCCCAAATACATTTTTAAACTTAAGTGTACAATTGGACATTTCACCCTATTATTATACTTTTCTGGTTAAAGTCAGCCTTTTATTTGACAGGATCCTTATTCTGATTTATCCCTGCTTGCTTCATGTCATCCAAAAATGTGATAAGCATGCTTCCCTACCTTTGTGCCCCACAGAATGTAAGCTCTTCAGAAGTGAAGATTGGTTTGTGTTAATTTTCTTATTCCCACTGCCCGGCCTATGGTAGGTGGAATCAATGCTAGTTGAATGAATGAATATGAATGAATGAGTGAATGTATGCAAGTCATTGACAAAAATGCAGAATAAGAACTCCACCACAGTCTCCCCTCCAGGCTGACAATAACCTCCACAATCTGGGTAAGGTCCTTGAAAGAATTCGGAATCTTCCTTTTGTTTAATTCACATTTATCTATGCAGACACGCTGACATCCCTTGGAGACTCTGGCAAATGCCTCAATAAATAGTTACACTGTGTCTGTGGCTTTTCCTCAGTCTGGTGAACCTCACTTAAAACAGGGATAAGGTGGTGGCTCTAGTCACTTTCACAAACATTTGAGTGCTTTTTGTTAGAGGCACCAAAGGAGATACAGAGATGAATGATAGGGGTTACTTGGCCCAGACTCCAGCAGAAGAAATGGATCTGTCCCACACACAGATCAGTATGATACAAAAGGAAATGCTGGGAGTCCTCTGAGAGCCGAATTGGACCTGCTGCTTCACATGCACCTGTGTTCAATTTAATATGGTTTATTCCATTCCAAACGACTAAAATGTTAGGTTGCCGGTCCCGCTAGTCATTACCACTTTTTTAATTGAACGTTTTTATTGATACTTCTGCTTTTCTATCACTGTTACTTTCCAGCAATACCTACTTCTCATGTAGAATCCTGTCTTGTGAAGAAGATAAACAATGGAAAAGGTATGCTTAACTAGAGTTCCTATTATAGGAGGTGGGTACTGTTGGGGTGAGGACTACCAACAGAAAAGAGCAGAGATGTAAATCTGACAAAAGGCATCAATAAAACACTTTAAAAAAACCAGGTAAGCAAGACAAACACACAAATAGGTTGTATTCAACAAGCTATGCATAATTTCACTGCTATGGACCATAGCTTTGCTTTCCAGAGAAGGAAAATATGTCTTAACATTAGTCTCCTAGAATCAAGATTGGTCATTCATTATATTAATCTGAATTTTGATGTCTTAGGATTGTTTTCCTTTACATTGTACATATTGTTCTCAATTCTATTTTTTTCACTCTATGTCAGTTCATAGGTGTCTTTCCTTGTTTCTTTGAATTTCTCATGTTCATTGTTTCTTATAGTGTGATAATATTTTCTTTCCTTTTTTATGAACGTGACAAATATCAAACATGATCATTTCCACACATAAGGTATAAACTATAGATGACACCCTATATCTGTATTGTATACAGCTTACTTGTTTAATATGGCAAACCTAATTCTGTCCTGCTTTTCTCTGTGCCCTTCTGAATGACTTTCCTCTTTTTTTTAAAAGTAGATTTTTATTGATATCTTTTGTTTTTGTCACCTAGATTTCTCCCCATCCCTTCCCCACTCCCTTCTAGAAAGCCATGCCTTATAACAAAGAATGCTTTTAAAAAGAGGAAGACAAGGAAAAAAGCTGATCAGTACACCTAAGAAATATGACATTATGTGCAATGTTCCACACCTGTGGATCTTCTACGTATTTTAAAATGTTTCACTTGTGCTCTGTTTTTCTTTTCTTTTTTCTGGGTACCA